GAGCAAAGAAAACACATCATTCATAACAGAAACAGCTCGCAATAGCCACAGGAACGTTGCTGCAAGACAGGCATATGTAACGACGACTTAGCGCTCTTAAACGCGTGTGTCATTAAATACAGTCCTCCTGACAACAGGCCAGTGAAAAATCTAACAATCTACAGCAAAACCATCAATTATTATGGGCGTTATAACATACGTGTGCAGCTGGATGAAACATACACGTCGAACCCCCCCAGACGATTTAAATACCTGACGAAACATACACGTCAAACCACGGCAACGGGTTAATACCCTTCAGAATAAACTCCCTCAGTTCATATACACCCATTCTGCTCTTCATGCCAGTGCTGAAAGCACCTCAGAAACTCATTTTTTGAGATCACTACCAGCAACCCCATTATACCACTTTTCATTTGTTCTACATTGCACAACTTGTGATTTTGATAGTTTTTAAGTTTTGGGAATAGAGAAAATGTCCCACTGGATCACAGCTGGTGAGTAGGAAGGGTATCTGTTTTGTGAAATACTGTTTTTCTTATTGCTCCCCAAGCGGGGGGTGGAGGGGGGTGAGGGAGTTACAAGTTGTCTGTTGAAGAAGATTTTCAGTAACCCTTGTTTTCATGCTTGTGTGCATAGGTGTGCTGTTATGTTGATGACTGTATGTTTTTATCCTGATAATGCACAATAAAGTATTTTTCTGTCAGGGAAAATGATTGACAAAAAGCCAGATGGTAGTAGTCCAAAGCTGTTGAATAATAGCAGTAAAGCTGGTAATATCCTTAACAACAACTTGAGCAATAATGCAACAGGAGGCTCACCACCAAGTCCGACACCGGGTGATGTTAAGTCAACAACATTGTTCAAGAAGGTGAGTGAACAGAAGCCATTGAAGTTATACACCAACTAAATTTGCCTGTGATGCATTCCAGGAGGTAGCAGTGGGCTAGACACATGATTGGATTATGAAATTTTGACATGGTAACCTTTTAGAAAACAGCCTGTAGGAAGACCAGAAAAGAGATGAGAGGTTAACTTCAACATTTCAACTCCTCCATGATACGTATGTAATGGCCGTCTTGTAGTGCACTCAATTTCATATGTCGCTTCTTACTACATGTTTCAGCAACATAGTGCCATCTTCAGGTTCGTTATTTACGCTAAGCTATTACATTGGACAGGTTTTAAAAATGTTCTGTCACCCTTCATGTGGCTTGGAAAAGAATTGAACATGTTTTTCCTTTGATGCACAAAATGTGTCATGTCCTTCATGTGTTGGTTGGATTTTTGTTAAGGGATTGTTTTGTCTTGAATGTTCATTAAGGTATTGTATAGTGGAATGTGTGGATGCAAACATTTGTATTATGTTACTACATTGTATTCTTTGAACACTGATGTGTCAGTTGAGATTTTATCAAGGGGCATATCATGTTCATTAAGGAGTCACATAGTGGAGTCTGTAGACAGGAATTTCTGGACGCTGTATATGTTTGTCACATTTTTAAAGAAGCATATTTGCCCTTTGTCCTTACATAGCACACAGTCACATGTTCCATTCTTCTGTATTTACAGTCTCTTGTAATATTGCTGCCTCTGCCACTCTTGCTTGCATAACCCTGCTAGACAAATTAACAGTGTCTGCTGCCTGCTTCTGTTGGGCCCTGACTGATCCCTAGTCAAGAAATGCATTAAGGGTACTTCCAGGAAACTGAAAGCATGTATAGGAGGAAAAGCTGTGTTGAACATAGTGTGTTGTTATTGGGTCTCATGTTTGATGCTGTACTGTATTCAGAACAGACAAGGAGATTGTGTTCTTGATATCACCATGTTTGAAATTATCAGTAATAAATAGAAATTTGAAAGTCAAGACATTGGGAAGTAAGTTACATACCCTGGCTAAAAATAATGGTGATAAATTATGTCAGAAGTATAGAATGAAAATTTCGCTCTTCATTATGCAGCTGTAATTTTCATAGCCTCATTATAATGTGTAAAAATTTACTCTGAAAATTAGTGTTCATGTATTTTGTTCACCACAACTTTCAGACACAATTTTTTGGGGTTAAAAAGATGCATAAATTAAATGACAAAGTATGGTATTAAAAGATGGTGAGTTAATAAATGGAAGCCTGTTACAAAGGGCACTGTTTTCATACCACTGTTGAGCTGCTTGTTGTGAATGTGTGATCACTTTAATTTAAAGTAAAAATTGGAACTGCTGCTGTGGTATACGTTTTGAAAGTTTATTCCCTTGTACACTAGTGTTTTTTTATGTTGTCTGCCTTTTTTATATTATGCAACTTTTGTGTTAGTGCAAACCCTCTTGCTATTGTTAAATCAATGGATTACTCTCCTTGTTTTGTAACTTTATGGTTCTCAGGGTAGCCTTACAGAGGAGTTATGGGGTATAACACTATATAGTCCTTTGAAAGTCAACTGTCATTTCATTGGAACATATCACCTCTTTCATGGTTAAAGAATGGGCCAAACAAGAAGCCAGCATGAAGCAGGTAGCAAGCTGGTATCTTGCTTTGCTTATTCTTGAACCCTAAAGTTCGAGGTGATATGTTCCTCCACAACATCAGTGTACTACACAGCATAATATCCCAGAAGATAGAAAACTTAATACCCACTGCCATGAGAACCTTAAAGACTACAAACTTAAGGCAGTTTGTGGCTTCTGACCATAAAACATATTTGTCTCCCTCATTTTCTTGCTTCTCATTTCTCAGAGCATAATAATGCAGACTGTGCTTTGAAAGCTTAAAAGGATCAAAGGCCTGTTGTATACATATAGCATTCAGATTTATAATGATTTGTAAGTCTTCCATGTGGAGATGAACTCATTTTCAGTTTTTACAAATACAGTATTGACCCCTCTTGATATGACACCATCATGCAAAGCAAAAGTAGTTACCAGAAATTCTTGAAAGTTGAAGAATGAAATGCTAACATTTGAATCAAGATTTATAAATCTTTTTCTCAATTTGATCTCAGATGCTTGAGAATTGCACATGCCTGCTGAATTTGTATATTAGACAGAAAATTTTCCTGCATCAGTACCTGGATAGGGTTTAAACAATGCCATGCTCAGAGGAGGTTAAGATGGATGGTAGGGAAATGGATCGTGACACTGGGAAATGAATGAAAAGGCTCAAGATTGTATCTGATTGTGGTTTTGGGTGTTAGCTCTGTTGAACCTTTGTTCTGTTACCAGAATTATTTGGCTAGTTCTAAATTTTATAATTTTCTTCATTGCTCGTTCATGTGCCAGCCACAGTGGCTGCATGGTCTAAGGCAAGGGTCGCCAAACTACGGCCTGCGATGTGATTTTATCCGGTCAGCCAAAGAATTGTGCAGAAATGCGCCAAGTGAACTAATTTTCCAGTGAGTACAGGTAATTGTGATTCCGAGCGTATTGACCTGACATTATACTGCAGTTCGATGGCTTAGCTGTGGAAAGGTTCTTTCGCACTTCTTTCAGCTCAGGAATGAAATTGATATATTTCTTACCAAGAAAAACAATCACTAACCACTTCTATCAGATACCGAGTGGCTTTGGAAATTAGCATTTTTTGCTGATCTGGTGAACCATAAGAACCATATGAATTTAAAGTTGCAGGATGAAAATAACTTAGTCTGTGATTTATTTGCACTTATCAAGGCATTCAGAGCAAAGCTGATACTTCTGGAAAGCCAAGTGAAAAACTGTAACTTTGTTCATATGCTGTACTGTGCAGAGTTGCATAAAAAGGGTGAAGCAGAATTTCCTTCCTCGCATGCAAATGTAGTCATTTCAGATTTGAAAGAACAATTTCGGAAGCGATTTGCTGATTTGGATTCCAGTGCTCAGGAAATTAGATTGTTTTAAAATCCATTTCACTGTGATGCTGCAGATGTTCCAAGTCAAATTCAAATGGAAATTATTGAACTTCAGGAAAATTATGATATTAAAGACAAATACAAGGAAGGAAATTTGATCGAATTTTATAAATTTCTGAACGCTGAGCAAATTTAAAGAAATTTGCTTGTAAATTTATCTCCATTTTTGGGACGACATATCTGTGTGAACAAACTTTTTTCCCAGACGAAGTACATCAAGTCTAAATACAGGGCAAATTTATCCAATGAACGTTTAAGTCGCTACTTGTGATTAGCGTTTCAAAATTTGAACCTCAATTTAATCAGATTTTAAGAATGAAAAAAGAGTTCCATCATTCACATTAATTGTTTTATTAAATTTGTGATGAAAATATGAGCATTTTCTGCTATTGTCTTTTGTCGTTAATATACGATAATTTATTCTCACGTACTTTGTATTTAGTTTATGAAATTCTGTGCTTTCAACAAAACTCTTATACCTGGAGTTATTAATTTCTCATTTTATCCGGCCCGCTGAAAGTGCTGAATTACCTAATGTGGCCCACGGTTTAAAAAGTTTGGAGACCCCTGGTCTAAGGCATGAATTGTCTTCACCCGCTTGAACACTGGGGTTGTGGGTTTGCATTCTACTCGAGGCATGGACATCGGTGTGCGTTTGTTCTATATGTAGGTAGCGGCTTTCTGACTGGTTGATCCCCTGTCCAAGGAGTCCTGCTGACTTGTTTATAGGACTGAAAAAGTGAGCAGGGTCCAAAGGGCTGTAGAGCCATAGAGCAAGTAAAGAAAGAAAAATATTTCTTCATACATTAACTATTAATTTACACGAAAATCCCAGGAACCTGCTTGTTGACAATGCAGTAAATGAATAATTAACTGCAAAGTCAGTGAAACTCCAATTTAAGGTTTGTTTGGGGATCAGTGATTTTTAACACCAAATTAAGGAAAATTTTAAGTGGACGAAAACCACAATTCTTGATTTGGGTTCATTGAAATTTAATGTTAAATGAAGGAAAATTTATGAAAGAGTTATTAAATTAAAGTGTATTTGATGGAGGATGATAGTTTAGCTGCATTAGTAATGTGGTTGAGTTCATTGTCATAAACCCCTGAAAGGTTGTGTTTCTCCATTTGGGTAAAGCTGGGTATAGAGAGATTGATGCTAGTTATAAAAATGATTGAGTCTGTGTACACGGGCTACACAGCATATCTAGTTATGCTGTCTCCACCAACTTGTGGACCTGACCCTGCTTTCCATCCTTTAACCCAATGTTCTCTCCCCTTTTCTGTAGAACCAAAGACCTAAGGAAGTATCCAACCTGTGATTAATGGTGGTAGTATGAGTCTTGGAAGGAATGCTTATGTTGTGAGTCGCGGTGGCTTAGTTAGGACAAATGGCACTTGACAAACTTGGAATTTTGTTTTAAGTCTTAAATTCTGGTTGTTGCATTTATTGAAAGCCAGAAATTATCAGTGCAGTTTAGTTGACTGTAATGCCTTGCCAGGACAGTTTTAGGGAGAGGGCATAAGCATGCCATAATAGTGTGACATGACTGAAACATTCTCTGCTGCTAGGTAAGAGCTCAGTAAACACACATTGCAGCAGGAGCAGCTCTGCACATGACAATAGAGGAGCTGTTGGGGGTGGTGTTTTCTACGTAGTCCATGCTGAAGCTATACAGCAAGGGCCATCAGAAAAAGTTAATGAGTCAGGACCAGCAGATCATTAGTTGTGGCCATGAGAAATAGTAAGATGGTAGCCAGCCAGCAGTGATGTAAGCATGAGTGCAGAAGAATCTCCATTGTTGAGAACTGTTACCTAGCATAACCTAGTGAAGACATAGAATACTGTGCATGTTGCAGTACAGTGATCTGTAGGGCATATAGATCCATGAAACGATCAGTTCCCTGTAGTTATGAGTTACGAGAGTCCAGTAAATCCAGTGACCAGTTCAAACCCCATGTCTCATCACTAACATATGACTGTAGTTTTCATTTCATACATCCTTTTCCGTTATAATATACAGTTTCTTTATTAAATCTGTCACAACACAACTATATTAATGTACTTGTGTTGTGACAAATTTAATAAAGAAATTGTATGTGACTGTAGCTTTAAGTTAAAGGACATTTGATTGTTGGAACTTAGTATAATGGCCACCTGAAGCTGTAACTATTTTGCTGCATTTTGTGTGAAAAGTGGTCTGTTCTGTATTTAATAGTATGTTACTCTGGAAAACATTACAGAGAATATTTGGTGATATTGAAAGTCATTTGAGTGTTTGTGTAGGTGACATTGTTATATAATTTTTTATCTTTAAAAATCTGAGTTGTGAAATTTGTGCACTTGTGTTTGTTTTACATTTTCTTCTCAGAGTTTGTGCAGTACAATCCATGTAAGTAATAGAGGCATAATATTGGAAATAAACTTCAGTGAAGATATCTTTTGTAGTAGTGAGTAGTGAGCAATTCACTCACTCATGGAGCTGAGCCCTTCTTGAGAAACCACCAATTGTTCAGCTACTCAAGAACTTCCCAGCATTTTATGGAACTCAAAGGTTCATTACCATATTCACAAAAGACTACCACTGGTCCCTATCCTGAGCCAGATCAATCCATCCCATCCCATCCCATCCCATCCTATCTCTCTAAGATCAATTTTAATATTGTCCACCAACTTATGCTTTGGTCTTCCCAGTGGTCTCTTTCCATCAGGCTTTCCCACTAATATCCTATATGTAGTCTTCCTCCTCCCCCCCCCCTTTCATGCTACATGCCTTACCCATCTCATCCTCCTTACTTGATCATTCTAATTATACTTGGAGAAGAATAAAAGTTACGAAGCTCCTCATTATGGAGTTTTCTCCAACCTCCTGCCACTTCATCTCTCTTTTGTCCAAATATTCTCAACACCCTCAGTCTGTGTTCTCCCTTAAAGTCAGAGACCAGGTTTCACACCCATACAGATCCACAAACAAAATTATAGTTTTGTATATTCTAATTTTTATGTTTTTAGACAGCAGATGAGAAGACAAAAGGTTCCGAACTGAATGGTAGCAAGCATTACCCCAGTTCAGTCTCTTAATTTCCTCCTGAATCAGGTTTGATTTGTTATAGTGTTTCCCAAATATCTGAACTGTGCCACGTTTTCAAAACATGTTACCTGACTTTATGTAATGATTTTGCCCTGCATTTTTTGGTGACAAGATAACATATACTTAGTTTTCTCTGTATTTACTTTTAGACCAATCTCCTTACAAGTATCAATTAAATTTGTGTGTTTCTCCTTATGGTATCTATTTTATCACCCAGTAGATTCACATCATCAGCATAGACCAATGTTAATGTGTCCAATTTAATTTCAGTCCCTTCTGGTTTTATTGGACCTTCCTAATGGCATATTCAAAAGCAAAGTTGAAAAGCAGTGGCAATAAAGCATTTCCTTGTTTTAGACCATTCTGGATGGGAAAATTATCAGACAAATATTTGGCTATAAGGCCTTTATATACGTTTTGTTTAAGCACTTTCTAATCTGCCTAACTAGTTTCATGGATAAATTCTAGGTGAATTATGTACAGTACTTCCCTCCTAACTGAATCATAGACTTTCTTGAAGTCTACAAATAGCTGATGTGCTGTCTCATCATACTTCCATTTTTTCTCCAGTGTCTGACGAATGCAAAAATCTGATCCATAGTTGATCTTTTACATAGAAACCCACACTGATGATCCTCAGTAATTTCATGTATGTTTGGACTTAACCTTGAGAACAGAATATTGGATAAAATTTTGTATGAAGTCTGTAGCAGTGATATTCCCTGATAATTACTACAGTCAGTGTTGTTACCATTCTTGTGAACTGGTACAATAATAGATTCCTTCCACTGATCAGGCAGTTTTTCCTTATTCCAAATAGAATTAGCTTATGGATCTTAGAACGTAATATTTCACCTCCTGCTGGAATTTGATCACTACCTGGTGATCTATACCTTTTCAATTTTGCAATAGCAATTTCAACCTCAGGTGCCAACAGGTCAGTTGTCCGTATTTCTGTCTGCCTAACATCACTTACCCTGTGTACATTCAATAACTGAGAGAAGTAGTTCCTCCACCTATTCAAAATGTGGGAATCTGCAAGCAGATCACCATTCTCATCCTTCACTAAGTTACTTCTAGGTTGGAAACCCCTCTTGAAGTTATTTATTCCTCTATACAGGTCTCTAGTGTTCTTGTTCTTACTGTTCATTGCAAGCTCAACAATTTAAGTCTTTCAGATATTCCCTCTTTCTATTCCTGAAATGCCTGGTGATTTCATGTCTTAACATTGTTCAGATTATCGTCATTTATATTGCTTGGATCCTGTAACCATTGCAGTTAGGCTTGTTTCCTTTGCTCTGATAATTTTGAGCATCATTTGTCAAACCATGGCTTATGCTTCTTCAGTTCATAATAACCTAGACTCTCTTTGGGAGAAATTTTGATATTCTCTCTGATAATTTCCCAAAGCTTTATTAACGTCCACCTCAGTTTTCCAAAGCTGCGAACCTATTTGCGATTTCAACACGATACTGGTTCTTATCCTCTACCTCGCTTAATTTCTTGAGATTGAACCTCTCCACATGAACTCTGTGTGTTATTTGTTTGCTCACTGCCAGTCTCTCCCTAACCTTTGCCAGCACCTGCTAGTGGTCAGTATCATAATATGCTGCCCTGCATGATCGGATATCAAGTATAATTGAATGCCATCTGTCTCTCAAAATACGGTCAGTTTGATTGTGTGTCTTCCCATCAGGAGACATCCAAGTAAATTTATGAATCTTATGATGGGAAACATTGTACTTTTGACAGTAAATTTTTTGATGTGGCAAAGTTAGTAGTAAGCAGTTTCTGTGGGAAATTCCTCTTAATATGATGATTTACAACATTCCATAGGCTTTGGTGGACTATGAGGGAGATTCGGATGAAGAGGAGGAGGAAGATGGTGGCGATGTCCTGTCCCCTTCACCCAAGCGTGCCAGACTCACATAGTGCTTCGCCAGCAAAACATGACAGTGAAGTGGCAGTTGCTGACCTTGTGCCTGAATGTGTTGTGAATGCTTGGATATGTCCAAGTTCAGTCCAGGTGTGAGGGCAGTGAAACAGCTCATATTTTGTTCCTCAATTAATGGAAGCAACACCTTATTTAAAGGGGGTAGGCATGACTTGTGACTGAGCCGCCTGAAGGGTTGCAGCTTTCCGTGAACAAAGAGTGGTGTCAGTGGTTAAAGTGTGGAAATATTGACAAGGGTTTTATAGTTGAGTGTATGATCTCTTACAGACTGCATCACCAGCAGTGGCAGTGGGGGTGTTTCATGCCAGATGGACTGTACAGTATAAGGTGAATGTGTATCAAAGATTTATTGCAAGAATGCATTAAAGACTATACAATTTGTAAGATGCCTCTCAAAATTAGATTAAAGTATTAAGGAAGGCATCTATTAATATCAAAGCATAGTAGTTGATAATATGCTCCTGTCTGCATAGCAATGTTATGAATGAATTGATCCAACGAATCCTGGTCCAGCACTGCCACACATATCACTCATCCATCACTTCGCTTTGGTTTGGATTGGCAGACCTGTCAGATGACATCAGGCTGCTATATGTCTGGTGTCATTGTGTCTTACAGCATAATTGATGTCTGTAATTAAAGCTGTATACATTTATTGATTCTTAAATTGGCTTGTCTGATAACAGAATTAATTTCGGTTAGAATATGCATGTACTAATGACACTGTTCTTAGAACAGTTATAATGCACTGATAGGTCAGGAAAGTACTATTTCCAGATCTGTCTTTTGTGTTATGTCTTGTTCATTATAAAATTGATTTTTTAATACAAGGAAACTAAGCTGTAGCAGGCATCAGTACATGGTATGTGTATTCATCATCATGATTCAGAAGTGTTATTTCTTTCAGTTGTTTACATTCGTCGAGTTTTGTTTGCCACTGAACACATTTTATAGAAATAAGTAAATAAGCCACAGTGTTTCATTCTGTTATAGAAGAAAGTTTTAAATAGTGAATCCAAGAGCCTGAAGTAAATAAATTGATTTGTAACTCCTAGTGAATGACATGCTCTGTACTAGATGCAGCTTTTAGTGCTAATAGTTTTGCAGACACTCCACATTTTGTGAAAAACTTGCATTTTTGAATGAAATCCATTCTTATAAAATCCGTAATATGAATAGTGTTCGGCTCAGAGTTAGGATACTGCTGTTATTTTTAAATAGGCTGGTAGAAATGTTGTAACACAGTGAAATATTTGTTGATATGACTCGTAATTCCAGTACTGGTTTATTCTGAATATACAATCATTCTATTTCTGACTCATGAAGATTCTTTTATTATTTATAAGATTTTATAGTTCCATATGAGATTTGGAAGCAGTACTTTGATGATGTGTGTGTGTTTCTGCAGCTAGCTTATTGCACAGTAATAATGTTTTGTTTTGTTCATATTGACTGCAGGTGAGAGAAGTTGTGTCCAGAGAATATACAGGTTATTTGTTCAGTGTTGTCTCTCTTTATTCTTCATAAGTTCTAGAAGGTTCCAGAAGTTTGTAGTTCTTTATAAATAGCTCTGGATGAACAATGTAATTTTGTCCTCTCATCTTGATTTCTCTCTGTACATAAGGTACAATACCTTTTGACCGTTTTACATCTTAGAATTGTTTTTCTTTTATGTCGTATTACATATAAGACATTAACATCTTTTCCACAGTTATATCACACTGTTTGAAACTTTAAGGTGAAAGTAGTAAGAAAGCTATTCTTATTCAAATCCGTTGTGTCAGGTGAGAAACATATTTGTTTTATAAATATATATGATTATTTTTGGTATGGTGAAGTATGAAAATTCATCCCCCCCATGTACCTAATTGATTCTATTATCAGACAGTATAAGAATTTGAAAATGTAGATACAAAGCAGGAAAGCTCAGGCATCATAACCACAACGTTGTGGATGGTATTTTAGAAACTTTAACTATAAGTATATTGTGGAAGTGTAAGTGTTCCTTGAGCATGAACCATAGCAGAAGTTGTGAATTTCTTAGTACAGTTTCCCATACTATTTTATATTACAACTACTACACAAATTAAATCAGGAAAGTAGATAGCAAAAATGTGTGGGGTATAATTAATGTTGTAGTTTTGTTCCGAGAGTTCAAGACCTTCAGTGGAACGTGAGAGTGAAGTGAAGTGTACATTGACACTTGTGCATGTGGCATGCATCTGGTCCATCCATTGTGTGCCGAGCAATAGAGAATTGTGGGAACAGGGTTGCATGCTGCGGTTTGAAACGCTGTACAGTACCTGAGTACCAGACCAGGATGAAACTCCTAATTTTTTTCATAGTAAATAGGGCAATGGATTTATACTGTAGAGGTTGTAGACTGTTTTGTCTTTATATTTTTTGTTGGAAAGCTCATAATCATAGAAAAGTAAAAATATCTGTCTGTTATTTTGACTTGTTCCTAAATTTCACATGTATTTCTGTCCTAGTAGATTGAGGATTCATTTATTTTAATTTTCCATGGAAGTCACTATTGCAATATTGTTAACTCTGACAAGGATAAAAGTTCCAATGTGCCAGGGTGGAGTACATGCTGGAGTAAGGAAATAAAAATATTAGAAACATGATTGCACGTTTTAGCGATGCATATTAAGAGTTCTACAATTTATGGTGTGTTCCATTCCATTTTGTGATGCCAGTTGAAGAGGTTACAAAATAGCAGGAACATCACTCATTTCTGTTTTTACTCTAAACTAATTTTGAGGGCCAGCATTATTTATCCTGTTGACTTCTTGTAGGCAACAGGAGGCTTAGCATTCTTGCTCATAAATTTTGCACAAAATAAATATGATCCTGTAATGGAGAGCCAGTGTACCATACTGAGTTGAGTGTTCGTGTACATTTTCATTGCGCAAACTGGCAGTTCATGTTGCTCCCCTATGTTTCTGTACTTTGTGTAGGTGTATAAAGTAGCTGGACATATTTTGTTTTTATTGTGCTTCTTGTTTCTGCCCTGTCAGTTTCTGTTTGGGCTGATTTAAAAACCTTGTGTTTTGAATCATCGCAGACAACACATTACAGCTGTAGTGCATTGCCATCGACATATAGGGAGTCTGGGAGTAGTGCATGCCACAGAAAGTGGCTCTTGGAAATCTGTATATCTGTTCCATTGTCCCCAGCTCTCTCTACCTGTCCCAGAGGAGCTGAAGCTGGATCGAGATACCTCGGCTGTTTTGCTCCCCTTGACTTCATCACTCATCTTTCTAACATATTGCCATTGCTATAGGCTTCATGTTTTGTAGCGTCATAATGGCGGAAATTTTTAATTGTAAATTGTAACCAAGTTATATTCAAGAATAAAAGAGAATATTAATGTAAAATATGTGTTTTGTAAAAAGAACCTTGTGCACATGAAATATCATTTGAATATGAAGTTGCATGTTTTATATTATACATTTTAGTCTGGTTGTGAAAGTTTTCAGTGACCGTAATTTATTTCTTTTCTGGTAGGACTGTGCCAGTGCTTTCCATTTTGATGTCAATTAAGATGCACTGTGAAAATTTAGCTCTTGTTCATTCACTGCACTTTAATGTGTTCAGAGCTGTATAAATGTAAGATGGTTGACTGGTTTTAATACTGCAACTGCATTTGCTGATATAACAGCCATATATTCCTCACTTAGTCTTTTTTAAGGGTCCAAAATGATTTTAAGAATCCCATTTTGGAACCTTTATATTCATCCTTGGATGTCTGACTGGCTGTCTGTCTACCGAGTTCAATCATGACTTGAAATACCGTAAACACTTAGTACAGGAACTTAACGCTGTTATTTATATTAGTGATTTTCCTCAAACTGTTTGCTTAAAGCCAGGGTAATACCTTAAATAGGTCACACACAACCAATTCCTTCCACATCCTCATGAGTCCATCATTCACAAATTATCCTACCATTTGACACTGCATAACCTAAGTAATTAAGGAAAGTGTCACTAAATAGATAAAGAATCAATGAATTGATGGTAGCATGGCTACCTTTAGTTCTTACTAGTTTGTGTATATAAATGTGTGATGTCAGGCCTGGGAAGAGTTTGAAAGATGAACACCTTTAGCTGTAAAGGAACAGGTCTTAAGATCCGAGACTTGTTTATATTCATGAAGAAGAAATATACGAGGGTCAGTCAAGAAGTTCCCGGAATATTGGTATAGCACTCTAATGGTAGGACATATGACAACGCTTACCTAATCACTTCAAAGTAGGACCTTTGCGCGTGCACACACTTGCTCCATCGATCCTGCCATTGTTGGAACTAGTGGTGGAAAGGTTCTTTTTCAATCTTCCGGAGCTCAGCTGTCGCATTCAATTTGATGTCCTCCATGGTTGCGAAATGTGTCTCCTTGAGGCATATTTTCAGAGTAGGGAACAGCCAAAAGTCGCTTGGAGCGAGATCCGGAGAGTACGGTGGTTGAGTGATGACAGGAATGTTTTTCATGGTGAGGAATTGCTGCACAACAAGCGATGTGTGGCTCGGTGCGTTACTGTGATGCAGAAACCACTGTCCCTGCCACTTACTGCGCCTCTCCCTCTGAACCGCATTGCGCAACCTCTTCAAAACTTGCATGTGGAAATGGCCAGTAACAGTCTGTCCAGGCGGTATGAACTCATGGAGCACAAAACCATCGATGTCAGAGAATGCAATGAGCATCACTTTGTCTTTTTGTCTGACGAGGCATGCTTTTTTTTGGCCGGGGGACGACGCTGTGTGCCACGCCAATGACTGCATCTTCGTCTCCGGGTTGTAGGCAAACACCAATGACTCATCACCAGTGACGATCTTGAGAAACGTCGGGTCCTGCATACTTTTGTCAAACAGATCGCCAGCGACCATCATGCAACATTCCATCTGATCTGTGATCAGCTGCCTCGGAACAAACTTCGCACTGACGCATCTCATCTTCAGATCATCAGACAAAATGGCATGAATGGATCCATGAGAGATACCAACTTCTTGCTTCAACTCCACGATGGTCGTTCTTCAATCACATCGAATCAGTTGTTGCACTTTTCCAATCATTTCTTCAGTTCTGGATGTCGAAGGTCTCCCACTGTGCTGGTCATTCTCTGACGTCTCCTGCCCATTCTTAAACTGGGAGAACCAGTCGTAAACTGCGGATTTCTTTAGTGAAGTATTATGTTACTCCTGATGTTATCGATGTCATCAAAATACCTTCCTTCCAACATTTCCTTTATCTTTTTTGCACACACCTTCCTCATATTAAGGTCTTCAGTTAAGATTTTCCTGTTTCTCTCTTGATGTTCACTTGCTCTGCTATGCTCCTGACAGTCCTCTGACAATTTTCACACACAATTTGATGAAATTTTTCAATGTTTTCTTCAGTTCTGCTCGTTTCTGGCTGTCCTGTTCTGTTTTTATCATTGACACGTGTCACCCACTCATAAACTGCTCTTTCCTTCATAGCATTATCCCCATAAACTTGCACTAACATCTCTCTGATTTCACTTCCACTTTTGCCAAATTTAACAAGAAATTTAATGTTCATTCCTTGGTCTAATTCAAGCTCTGACATTCTTGCGAAGGCACACCAGTACACACTTGGACAATAATAGATGCCACTCAGAAAGAGACTGCCATAGATCAACAACAACACAGCTGTGAAATGCTGATATGCCACCATCATCAAACCGTACTGAGGTTTCTTCCCACTGCTACCACAGCAACCACATGGCGAGTTCGCGAACTTTGTCAGACCTCATACTTGTGTGAAATGAGATAAATATTTTTTCCCTCATGAGTAGATCTGTTTATATTCTTGGGAAGTGAGATAAGCATCTTACCATCGTGTGGAGATCTGTGAAAGGCTTAAGCTTCACATTACAGAAGTAGGAATCAGATGTTTAAGTCATTGCTAATATAGTATGGACCCAGATTTTTGTATGAATTTTGCTGCATTGAAGTGACTGTTTATTCTTGTGAAATGAACAGGAACATGAAGCCATAATCCAGTGTTCATATACAACACAAGCTGAATATACCTCAGACAATATAAAGTGTCCAATATAATCTTAAAAGGTCACTGATCCACCTCATGTATTTTTTGGCCTCTTTGTTGTATATGTGATGAGGGCATGAATTGTATATGCTAAAGGTGCCAAGTGTTGATACTGTTTGCCAGTTAAAATAACCATTATAATATTTATCTTAGTTCTGAATCACTAATTTGATTAAATAGCAGGTGAGAATTATATTTCAGTATATTGTGAATGACAGTTGCAAAAATTATGGAGCAAACTCCTTAGTATCTGGCATGTATGGTGATGGGTTTTCTGGTTACATGTATTTGCTGAATGCAGGAAAATAACTCTTAGGGAAACACAATACAAAGTCGAACAATATATTCATACTTTATTTCATGCACTGGAGTCTTCCTAGGCAACTTAGCAGATTGATGAGTGAAAGATTTTGGATACATACAGTGTAACTTGGTCACAGATACAACTAAACTGTGCTGCGATGGCACCAACATGAAGGAGGATATGTTAGTGCTGCTAGTGGTAGCTTGGAGAACTACCACACACTGGATGACAGGGAGCTTACTGTAGGTCATTAAGAACACCATATAATAAGAAAGACCATGTAACGAATTTTGTACAGTTTGTGAATATTCAAAACAATGTTTAGACTATGTCGGGATTTGGTATGAGTTATATGAATGCAGGTATGTAGCTGGTAAAGATGGTTATGTAATTGGTGAATATTCAGGAAAGTGATTGGTATATCCTTTAGTATGAATGTGATAGCTGATAAAGAGGATTGTATAAGTGCAGGCCTATTTAAAATGTTAATATTGTTTTGAGAACTTATGTCTTTGAAGTGTCTGTGAGATGCCAGGAAGAAAGTTGGTTTAAAAATAAATGCATTGAAAATTAAATTATGTTGATGTTTTGATACCAGAGTGCAGCATAATATTGTAATACAAATGTAGCTAATAAATGTTTTAAATGTGAGAATATTTGTAACATGTCAAAATTACATTCACAGAGATATTAGGAGTAGTCTGAATTCAGGAAATGCTTGCTACTGTTGTATTCAGTATGTTTTATCTTGCATCTGCAGTCAGAAAATATAATTAAAGGAAATTTAGGTGAATGAATCATAGCATGCATGGTGATAATGAGAACACCAAATTTTAGTCTGAACCTTTGAAGAGCAGTTGGTAGTCTTAGGCATATATGTCAGTACAGTATTAAAATGTATCTTGAAGAAGTAACGTGGGAGGGTGTGCAGGATCAGGTGAAGGTGCATTGGCATTATGAATGTGGTACCATAAAGTCAGGGGATTTCTTGACTAAGAAAGTGGCTGTCAGCTTCTGCAGAATAACAGCTCTATGGAGTGAGTTAACACGTTTTGGAAGTAAGAGGATTGTATCTGCAGAGTAATAAAAAAAGGGGAGAATGTTTATGTACCACATGATTTAATTAATTCATTTATGATTATTAGATGATTTTGAAAGGATGTGAAAGGAAGCAGTTTTGGCCTAGTTTGAGGTTGGACTTACACATGTTACCAACAAGTTTCAGTTGCAAAACACGTTACAATGCCAATACTTGCCTGGCGAAGGAAATCTTCAGCCTCAAGATAGTTAGTGTCCTGGCCGAGATTCAACACACTGGAACCAATTTGCTTAGTAAAAAACATGAAGAATTAATAGTATATTTGTGTAGTCTGGTAAATGGATAATTATGTGATTAAATGAGCGATGGCTGATACCAAATTACTGAAGAAGAGTTGTGACATGTTGAACAGAGCTTAGACTTGTTCATCAGGTACACTGATTAGTAGGGTTGGTATCTTCAGTTATTTAGGGGGGAATTACATTTGTTTTACATGAAAAATTTGAACTTACATGTGTGCTGGCACAGTGCTACTGTTTTAGTTCCTGGTGAAGGGTAGCCCATGAATTACAATGAAATATTTGTTTCTTGTGATTTTTGAACTGTTATGAATCAGTTTAAATGCAGTTACCCTCCACTGCAATTTAATTAATTGTAAGATACAGTATATTTATATATAACTATAATCATTTTAATTTCTGCTTGGAAATTTGTTTCTATTGAAAAACCATGACTCAACAAGACAGATTTATGGGCTTCTGTTTTGGACCTTCCATGACAATTCTGTGTTTCACTGTTGAATGATGTGATGATAACCAGGTAAAATATAATTAACATATTTTGTTAATATGAGCATATACTGAGCTAGACATGGTTGTTCAGAGCAGATTGCCTCTTTAATGTGAACATTTTGTAATTTAGTGTCTTATCATGCACACATCAGGCACTAACTTGTCTTGTGGAGTCATGTTTGGATATGTTTTATTGTACTGTACTTAGGTTTGTGCAGTTCTCTTAGCAGTAATAATACGAAGTGATGTGTGCTTGTATTTTGCTAGGATCACTAAATAGTTAGAAAACATATCCACTAAACATTGTAAGTTTTATGAGTGAGTATATATGTGCCATCATACTGTTCACATTTGTTTATTTATAGCATTCTTTGCACAAGGCATTATACATTTCATATAATTTGTTATAATGACAGTGTTTTCAGTGTAATAGCAGCAGATGGCTTATATTATGGGTAAGTTATTTTATGTACTGTTGTGCATGTCTGGTTAGTGATACTACAGTGTGTGTGTATGCTACTGACAGTACTTGCACATGACACACTGCAGACTGATTGCTCTACAGTTTGTTTCAGAAGTAGAAAAGCGCACTCTAATGTTGTATGCAGTCTATGCACAAATTGTGTAAACTGAACACATTGGGAAGGTCATGCCTGCCCATTTGCATATTTCATCCTCAAAAATGTACCAAATCAATTTTGAAAAATTTGGTATTGGGGGGCCTGCACTAAATATGATGCATGTTATGCCGTGGTGACAGGGGGCGTGGAGGTATCCCACCGCTGGCACCATCTGTACTGCAGTCACAGGGGGGTGAGGCCTAGAAAACTGCTAAATTCCTCGATCATTGCTCCATTGGCTAGGGGCACACTGTTCACGGGGCTTGTCAGGAGGGTGCAGGTGCGAAATGTGGGAAGGGAGGAAATCGCAACAACAAAAACCCACATCCTCACCATATGCTACCCTATATTAGTATAAACAATCAATACACAACTATATACATTTTAGTAATATCACAATTAAAGAGCCGACTGTTGTCGGATTACACATTGAACCTTCTTAGACGATTCTTGGACCTCATCTTAGCCTTCCTTTCACCCAGTTGCGGGTCGCTAGTCTCCTCTTTCTCCTATTCTACTCATCCACTATATATATATCTTTACACATCCCTGCAGCTAGACACACCCTCTGCAGCCTCTATATTACACATGTCTACCTCTGCATTTCTCTGATGAATCACTCTTACACCTTGTACACTTGTTGTAATGTTCCTAACTCATGTCCCATTGGGGGAGTTACACTTTAATAATATCACAGTTCAATAGCATGGCGATAAGAGTGGTTTCACTTACTTTGTGTTGAGACTGCAGACAGATGACATTGCCCGACATCTAGTCGATGCCTCTTCCAGCATGGCCTACGGCTGCAATTGGCCAAAATTACTGTTAGAATAGTCCCCATAATAATTTGCTCTCCACGTTATATACCTTTATTCTTTCTAACTCATTACTTTCCCGGGGTGGGGGGGGTGCAGTTCCGCCTCCAATTATTATCCCAAGTGGCTGCTCTCGTTGGCTGGGATCTTTAGGGGTGGATACGCCCCTTCTACTGCTAGTCCATATGGCTAACACTTTTACCTTCAAACGTTCCCCCATCTTTCTCAAGTGTAGATTCTGCAGAGTTAGCATTTTGATGTACCTTCAACGTCATTCTGCTGACAAGACATTGACGCGTCAAAGGCTAACGTCCATCTAACTCCGTACGCAGAAATTCCTTGAAGTTTCTTAACCCTTCTTACATCCTCTTTTGTACGTATTACAAGTATTTCCCAAAACTAATTCTATTCTATCCAACGTTTTCCCCTAAAATAAAAAATTAAGTACTCTTTTAACATGTTACCGGGTGTCGGCCTTCAGGGCACAACAGTGCAGATTTTATTTTGGCTTGTATTGGCCAAATATAACCTCTATTTTACATGAAGCACAAATCAGAATTTTATCATTTTCTTCAAAAAGTTTGTTATGCAAAACAGAAATTGTATGTAGTTGAAAACATTGGTCTTTTTAAGGTTTATGTGTTATTTGGGACCATGTTTGATATGGTGAATATTTGACAACAGGAGATAAAGCAGTCTCTAACTGTGAAGTATGGTATATGCAGTGTTGTGATAAGAATTGTGTCTGCAACAGAGGACAACAGGAACCACAAGGAATGCAAAATTTCAGAGAATATGGTCGGAAAATATATATATGCTCTGAAATACAGTACACCTTTCCATTCTTGCTAAAAAAAATATGAAAAAATTAATGGGACCATGTTAGATACATAATTGCAGAATATGTTATAGATATATAGACATTGTAGAACTTTGTTTATTTCTGATGGTATTTAAGGATGCTGTACCAAGTGACCAGATTATGTAACAATGAGATTTGAAGATAAACCCAGTTGTGCAAGTTAAATTCTTGAAGTGACCGAGGAAAGCAATAAAAGTTCATCTACAGATGAGATTTGAACAAAATACATCCTGTTGTAGGAGTGATAACTTTCAGAATATATGGTTAAGACCGGAAATATTCTTGTGGATGTTTACTGTTCGCCATTAATTGTAACCACAAAAATCCAAATGTGCATGGCATGATGGTGGGGTTATTATTTAAGAGAGTAAGGTGCAATACTTTTATAATTTAATATTCATGAAAATTAAGTTTTAGAAGGTTTATTTTCATTGTAAAATTGTGGTGCATCAGAGTACTGCCTATAAATACAGGACATCTGGTCACTATTAGCTAATTGTAACAAGTTTTCTCATTAGCTGATGTCTTATGTATTTTGATTCTCTAAACAGTTGACAGTAATGTCAACATTTTGCTCAGGCATTTGGATGATGATTGCTCTAATGCAAGGGTCTCCAAACTAGGGCCCACTGGGCACATGCGGCCCGCGATGTGATTTTATGTGGCCCACGAAAGAATTGTGCAGAAATGCGCCAGTTGAACAAATTTTCCAATGAGTACTGGTAAAAAAATACTTGTTAATACTTGTCATACTTATTACCATTTTTGTATTAAAGGTAACTTATGCCCAGTTTTGCTCTAACTGTTCCGAGAATTGGTAGCGAGGAATGTTGATAAGGCTACCGGAACTTAAGTCCAGTCTACGACGGCCGGCGTGGTACGGCTATCGGTTACCCCTCCCAGCCGACAAAGGATGTTTCCAGAACGTTCTCAATGTGTAGGAGTAGAGGAGTTCAGTTCGCAGACAGTCTGTACATAAGTGTACGAGGAGCAGTCTGTGTAGTGTAGTTGATGTGTGCAATAAAGTAAATGATCATTAAAAGTCAGTGGTTACAGTTACATAATATTCAATTTGTAATTGAATAAATTTATTCATATATTTGCTTGTACAGAGATGTCGTAATTATAATAATACAGTAATTATATATAAATTTATTTATCTAAACATTTTAAATTAACAAGAGTGTACATAGTAAAATTACTAGAATATTTGTTACTTCTATTTAGTATTCGTTTTATTGTTAATTTTTGTATTATTATTCTCTTTTCAAGTTTTAACATGGATGGAAAAAAGAAAAGAAAAAATTGCCAATGAATGCCGTGCATTTAATGAAGAATGGGGTGTAAAATATTTTTTCATACAATCGAATTCAAAGGATAAAGCTGTATGTCTGATATGTAAAGATACTGTTGCTGTGTTGAAAGAATACAATATACGTCATCACTATGACATGAAGCATGCTTCAACGTTTTCACAATTTAAAGAAAAGCAGCATTCAGATAAATTTGAATCATTACGTCATTGTCTGCGTTCTCAGCAAGACTTACTTACGAAAGCAACATCAGAAAATGAAGCCTTAACCTTGGTAAGCTATAAGGTTGCTTATGTGTTGGCTAAAAAAGGAAAACCATTCACTGATAATATCATCAAAGAGTGTATGATGGAAGCAGTGACTGAGTTGTGCCCCGAAAAACTTAATCTTTTTAAAATAATAAGTCTTGCTCCAAATACTGTTGCTCGTCGGATTGAAAATATAGGACATAATATTGTCCAGCAAATTGTAAGCAAAGCACAGTATTTCAGTCGGTATTTTCTTGCGCTGGATGAATCAACTGATGTTTGTAATACCTCTTAACTAGTAGCATTTTTTCGTGGCGTCGACAATGAACTTAATGTCACACAGGAATTAGTGTCACTTCACAGCATGCATGGCACTACAACAGGAGATGATATCTTCAAAGAAATACAAAAAACACTAACAAAATATAATTTGGACTGGAACCGTCTACAGTGCGTGACAGTTGATGGGGGAAAAAATGTCTGGTATAAAAATAGGTTTGGTTGACCAAATCACAAAAGCATGTGAGGATGCAGGAATATCAAAGCCAATGTTTCTTCACTGTGTTATCCACCAACAAGCACTTTGTGCAAAACACGTTGATACGAGCTCTGTTTTAAAACCTGTTATTTCTATCGTTAATTTCATTCGCTGTCATGCACTTAACCATCGCCAGTTTCGGTCTTTTCTCGAGGAATATGATTCCGAGCTTATTGACCTGACATATTACACTGCAGTTCAATGACTTAGCTGTGGGAAGGTTCTTTCGCACTTCTTTCAGCTCAGGAATGAAATTGATATATTTCCTACAGAGAAAAACCATCACGAACCACTTTTATCAGATACCGAGTGGCCTTGGAAATTAGCATTCTTTGCTGATCTGGTGAACCATATGAACAACTTGAATTTAAAGTTGCAGGCTAAAAATAACTTAGTCTGTGATTTATTTGCACTTATCAAGGCATTCAGAGCAAAGTTGATACTTCTGGAAAGCCAAGTGAAAAATTGTAACTTTGTTCATATGCTATACTGTGCAGAGTTGCATAAAAAGGGTGAAGCAGAATTTCCTTCCTCATTTGCAAATGTAGTCATTTCAGATTTGAAAGAACAATTTTGGAAGCGATTTGCTGATTTGGATTCCAGTGCTCAGGAAATTAGATTGTTTCAAAATCCGTTTGACTGTGATGCTGCAGATGTCCCAAGTCAAATTCAAATGGAAATTATTGAACTTCAGGAAAATTATGATATTAAAGACAAATACAAGGAAGGAAATTTGATCGAATTGTATAAATTTCTGAACGCTGAGCAATTTCCAAATTTAAAGAAATTTTCTTGTAAATTTATCTCCATTTTTGGGATGACATATCTGTGTGAACAAACTTTTTTCCCAGACGAAGTACATCAAGTCGAAATACAGGGCAAATTTATCCGATGAACGTTTAAGTCGCTACTTGTGATTAGCGTTTCAAAATTTGAACCTCAATTTAATCAGATTCTAAGAATGCAAAAGCGTTCCATCATTCACTTTGTTTTATTATAATTTGTAATGAAAATATGAGCATTTGCTGCTACTGTCTGTTGTCATTAATATACGATAATTTATTCTCACATACTTTGTATTTAGTTTATGAAATTCTGTGCTTTCAGTAAAACTCATATATCTAGAGTTATTAATTTCTAATTTTATCCGGCCCGTTGAAAGTGCTGAATTACCTAATGTGGCCTGTGTTTCGAAAAGTTTGGAGACCCCTGCTTTAGTGGAGGCCCACTTTAAATCCCAGGGAACTGCATGTGAGATTTGTGGTGGTACTGGGTCTGATTTTTTCCCAAGTACTTCAATTTTATTTCGATAATGTGTTTCTGTCTCACTGCCCATGGACTAGGTGATAGGCCCGAGCAGCCAGCATGAGAGTATTATGTACTCACTTCTTAACTGGGGCTTCAGTACTTGTCATGCTCAGGACAAGGACATATAATGTTCTTAGTCTTTATTAACTGTTCAGTTGGGATGTTTAGACCTGCACTGGTTCTAAACCCTGAAACTGCAGTTTTGTGTTGGCATCCATGTCATTGCTATTTCCATTAATTTTAAGCATTTAGAAGATTTTGGTAATATGGCTTGCCTCTGAAAAGTGTGGTGTATGGAAGGCTTTGCTGTAGGAAATGGATTGCCTCAGGCAGCAGATTAACATCAAATTTTGTGTCTGAATTGAAGTACTTGGGATGAAAATATTGCAGAAGCTTTAAGAGGTCTACACATATGGTGAACAAACATTAATCAAATCTGAGGTGTTTGGGTGGTGTCACAGAACAACGAGAATCATAAAATGAAGATGGCTTATGCAATGTGACAGTCTTCTACATCACAGAATAAGGACAATGTGAAATCTGTGCTGGATGGTGGAAGTGGTTGCAGAGAAAATCATGATCTTGTTTGGTAGTTGCCATGCCATCTTCAATAATGATCTGAAGATGATCATGTCTGCCAACACATTGTACCAAGCAAGAATGCTGACTCATGAATGGTAACAACAGCTGCATAACATTATTCTGCAACTCTCTTCTGATCATCAGAATATCATACACCTTGACTATGTGTGAGGCTGCTGTAGTCAATAGGGACATTTTCAAGTAGTTCCTCATCTGTTGGAGACAGCTTGCATATACTCATAGTGTCCCAAAGTCTAGGCAACCATGCACCTGCATGACGGTGCCACGGCGCATTGATTGTTGCTTTTGCAGCAGCTCATTAAGCATGGTGTTTTGCTCTTCCTCCCTCCCCCTATACAATGAACTCCTCTTGGCTTTACCTCTTTCCACTGATGATGGAATGATTTGAAGTGCTGTCACTTCCATGATGCAAAAGACATTGAAGTGGCTTCAAGGATTGCATTAAAGAAAGTAGCATGGGTTCTAAAAATATTCCATACAACTTCATGAATGTAGGCAAAAGCATGTTCCTGCTGAAGGGCAGTGTTTTTGAGGCGTCTGCAGCCAAGAGCTTACTGCCACTGATTTTAACCTTCCCTTAGTTGTTTATATTGAATTGATATGGGTATAACATTGTGTAGTCCATTGAAAATAAGCTGACATTCCGATGAAACATATCGCCTCCATCTTCAGAGTTTAAGAATAAGCCAGGCAAGAAATCAGCTTGAAATGAGTAGAAAGCAGATTTCATTTCACATAATTTAAAATTAAAATTAATGAATGTAATCCAAGCATTGACACAAGTAGGAAGCAGTTTGAATATCCACAAATAATATTTTGTTCTATTCAACATTATTTTTTTTCCTCAAAATTATAAATGTAAATCATGTAATTTTCTGTAGGTAAGGTAAAGGTTAAAGTTGACTCTGTGCTTAGCTAATTAAGCATTATGCCATGAAGACATATGGCGGAGTGGATGTATAGATCCATGTATTCTTGACCTTGTCACTTGATTGAAATGAGTGGTCAGCTTCCTTCCCTGGCCTCTTTACCCCTGGTACCTTTTTGATAGGATGTTGGGGGGGGGCCCCAGAACCAGTCTGGATGACATGGAGAGGCGAGAAATCTTGCCTCCAATGGGACTTGAACTCTGATTCCTCAGGCCTTCCAGCCTGTAGACAGTCATTATACCAACTGTGCTATCCCAGCTCCATAATTTTCTCTAGATCTTAACAGTATTATATGCTTTGATATAAAGGTCTGTTCATAACTGTAAACAACAGAAGTCTTTGGACCTTATTGTATAGAATATTTACTTACATAATTAATCTACTTAGTAGTATTCCATTAACACATTGTAGGAAACATTCCACAAAAATTGTCCCATTCTGTACTCTACTCTCAAGTTGTTGGCTGTCCTTATGGATAGGTTTTTCTATTTTTTTTTTTCAGAACCGTGATATTCATCAGACCTCTTCCTTTTATCTCCAGGACTTCCTCTGTTATTACTATCTTCTCATCAGATGCCATGGACTAACTTCCAAGAAGCTATCTATCTGATCAATCAGGTAACTGGCATTCTTGTAAACGGCTTGGGTAGAAACCGTTAAACCATTTTAACTCATTGTTTCCTAATCTACACCTGCCCTCACAGTTTGTTGTAGTTTTGAAATAGGAGGTATACCAGGGTTCTGGGTTGTTTCAACACCCGATACCCCAGGTGAGATGGGTGAGAGCACTCTCAGGGAAAATTTCAAAAGATACAGATGCTTTTTAAGCCAGTTGAGTATTATAAACATTACAGTTTAGCTGGAAAATTAAAGTGAATTTGTTTTATATTGTAAAAAAAACAGTATTGAAATAAAAGCATATGGCCTAAAAGTAAATCGTGCAACATGTTGCTGCTGTTCTTCTGGCACTTAGTTTTGGAGACACTGCTGTAAGCTAAAAATGTTGCTGTAGGAGATGGTAAAAGAAAAGCATCTTTGTTTAAAATTATGGGTATTTGGTAGAAGTTGGAGTTAACTTAAAATAATAATCAGTTTGTAATAAACCTGAACAATATAAAAATTGTTATGCTTTTGTGCATATCCTTTTATTTAACTTACATATTTGTGAAAAGAAATGGGAGAAATACATCTTTTCAGAAGCAGCAACAAATTGATGATAAATTGTGCCTTCATATGGAATTAGGCATTAATGTATTGTGTTTACATTTCTGTACCTTGTTACATAAGAGTTACATTTAATTGAAAGATGAAGTATTTCTGATAAATACTTGAGAAAACAGTATTACAGCTTGTTTTCATTCCTAACATTTGATTATAATTATTGTACATTTATACAAACATACAGGAAAGGCATCTTCAAAATTGTAGTTTTTTGCGTTAGGAGAGTGGAAATGTAACCGATGGCTTAGGATGTAAGCTTTAAGTCGTGGATGCGGCAAACAAATTTTTTTCAACTTATAGAGATGAAGACAGCCATTTTATAATATGTTTGATGAGAAAATAAAAAATAAAACAAAAACTGAGTGGACCCCATTCCAGACCCACTACTTCTCAGAAAAAAATCTGGTAGTGCTGGGAATCAAACTCTGACCACTAGACCACAAAGGCAGTCTTATATCTGATGACTGGTTTCCTACTTAATAGATGGTTTGTGGGATTGTCAGATTTGAGGTTCTCACAGCAGTGACCATAAAGAATATTATCTTCTGGTATATGATGCCATATAATCTGGTAGTTTACCAGTGCTTCAGAGGAATTTACTTCCTCCATCTTTGGGGTCAAAGGGAATCCAACCAGGGGACAAGCTTGCTTGCTTTCTTGGCATACTCTTTGACCCTGAAGATGAGATCATGTTGCTTTAAAATGTTGGTAAACTTCTACCAGACTACACAGTGTCACATCCCAGAAGATATTAATCTTGGATTTTGGGTTTAATGATTCTATAAATAGATTTTTGGTTGAAATCTGGGTTTCTGTCCTTCTGTTCCAAACCTTGAGTCAATCACAGGACTCAGACTGGGGTTTATTATTTTCTTTCATGCTGGTATTTGTTAAGATTTATTACATTATTTTTTATGTAGTTGCAATATTCCTTCTTCCTTAAAACTGACTACATTTTCTTTTTAGTATTTTAGTAGTCTAGACAGTACTGTAACTACGTTTTCCATTCTTGAATCAACAAAATTATGCTTCCAAAATAATTTCAAATTTTCTGTAGTTGTTGGCCCCTAGATATCTGTGTACAAAACTTATGTGTGATTACATAGAATCTAAGAATGTAGTAATTAACAATGTTGGAGTAGATTGAAGGGGCAGAACAAATCCTGAGTTTTAATTAAACTTTTGGTTATAACTGAAAAAGTAGGAGTAATTGCAAAAAAAGTAAAAATCCTGATTTCTTATATGTCACATTCTGTTCAGTTGTGTCAACAAATCAATGCTATCATAACTATGCGCTTCTTTATTACAAATTTTTTGGTGTGTAGCCTGACAGAAATATTGTAGATTGAACATTTACTATTCAGACCACATGACACTGGAAACAGTACCCAAAATATCTTTATTTCACTAACTCCATGGAGGTAAGCCCTTCTCGAGAAGCTATCAGTTGTGCAGCTACTCAAGAATTTCTCAACATTTTATGGAACCTGAAGGTTCATTACCAGGTTCACAAGAGCCTTCCAGAGTAACTCATCAGAAATAATTAAGGCATTAAATTGCTCAGGAGAGTGAAATCAAATTGAACCCAAAAGTCATATTTCCCTGAACATATGTTGTTTTGAATTAGTAGCTCTCTCTTTATAGAATAATTTTTTTTTGTAAGCAGGATGAAAACATCACACACCGGTCTTGCTTTACACACTGGCTTACAGCTGTATGCATGAATGTTTAGTGGGGTTGCATGGAATATTTTCTAGAAATGGTACTTCTGTTCCAACATTGTAGTGGTGGTCAGTAGAATATAAAAGATTGTTACCACCGTCCAGTGTGATTGATAAATGTTCTGTTTTTTAATCTTTCATCCTTTACATGTTTTGATTGGAGTGACCATCTTCAGAAGCACATTATGAATACATGCAGAAACTACTATTACAATGTCATTGGTCATTATCAATACATACAGACACTACTATTACAATGTCAGAAATATAAAATATTATCCTTTAACAGTTATTGCAATGTGCATCAATTTATTCAAACATTTACAAATTATTATAATTAGTCTTTTCACAAGTATGGTTTAAAAACTTTTTGTTAAAATCTAGAACCAGTTTGGTTTGTGTCTCTTATACTTCTTCTCTTTAAAGGAAGATGAGTGTATATCATGTCATGGTTCCGTAATTTGAAGGACATGAAGAAAATTGGTTCTAGATTTTAACAGAAAGTTTTCTAAACGTATAAATAGATTAATTATAATAATTTTTAAATGTTTTAATAAATTCATGCACATCACAGTAATTGTTAAAGGATAATATTTTATATTTATGACATTGTAATAGTAGTGTCTGTATATATTGATAATGAGCAATGACATTATAACAGTAGTTTCCACATGTATTTATGTATGTCCTGAAGATGATTGCTCCAACCAAAACATGTAAAGAATGAAGGATTAAAAAACACAACATTTATCAATCACACTGGATGATGTTAATAATCTTTTATACTATTACTAGTGTGATGGACCAGGATGAACCAAGTCAAATTTATCAGTAGAATATATTTACTCATATTATGGAACACAGTAAAAATAAACTCTGCGGTGAGTGCTTGGAGTGGGTGAAAATATTTCAAGAAAATAAGACTTTTTAGAGTGATTAGCGCTCTCCTTTTCCTTTTGGGTGGTTTGGGTTTGTTTCTTGTCCTGGCTAGCAGGTGGCCCGAGATATTTGTGGTTTTCCTGTCTGCCAAGGCAAATGCTTGGATAATACTGTAAAATAGGGTAGGACTATTTCCTTCTGTGACATGATTTCTTATTTTACAACCATTTGCTCCCCTGCCCAAATTTATGTGCTGCTGAAAGTGTCATTAAGTAAAACTAAGAATTAATCTATTAATATGGCACCATCTGAAGGTAAATTACAATTCTTAGTTACAAAACCAAAAATGCCTATTTTTTTGGAACAGAAGCTACTTGATCAGAAACAGAAGCATGTAAACTCTAGGACTTCCTGCCAACTACTTCAGACTTCAGTCGTTCTGCAAGAGCCTTTCGCACCTGCAAGGTCTGTGCATTGTTTTCTGGCTGACCAGCCAGTGCTGATTGTGCTGCTTTTGCAGATCTCGGACGTTGCTTGCTGCTGCCAGATTCCACAGCCTGCAGCTGTTTTTCTCGTTCTTGCTTTTTAAGTGCTAAAAGTTTGTCCCGTTGTGCTTTCAGGTATTTCTGTCGTTTCATCACTTCCGTGTCATCAACCTGCCAAAAAAAGAAAATTCTAGTAACAGTGAAACAGGGATACCAGTTCTTTTATTCTAAGGTTATTTCAAATACTGTACACCTTTACCATGCTTAAGAAGCTGTTCAGCAGAATTATGATAAGACATCTTACTACACAAATTTTTGTAGAACTGAATCTTGCTTAATGTGATTTCATTCATATGCTGGGTAAAATTTCAAGTCCCAATTGAGGACCAAGTAAACAAATCCCAAGGAGCAGAGTCCTTGAGAAGCTTACACTCATGCAGCTAGTAAAGAAATGTCCTCCATTTTTTGGAACCTGAAAGTACATTATTATGTTCACAAGAGCCAGATGAATTCAGCCCACACTCTCATACCTTGTTTCTTTGAGATCCATTTTTAACATTAGCTTCTATCTAACCCTAATCCTTCTAGGTGGCCTGTTCCTTTCAGGTTTCCTGTCCTGGTTGCTAGGTGACAATAATTGGATTTTTTTTTTTAGTGGAATAGGTGATCTATGTCCACTGCTATGTGGTTGTTTGGCAACCATTTAATGCATCAAGTGATCATTTTGTGGTACCAGAGCTGTAATAGGACACTGGTCATCATGAATATAAATTAATTTACTTGTCATATTAAATATGCAGTTTCATTGTTTGAATAACATTTATTCCAGAAAAACCTGATAAAAAACAAACAGTTCAGTAGATGTGTATATCTTACAGTAAAAACCCAAAATCTATTACTCTTAGTTCTGACTAGTAAACACTGGAAATCCCCAAGCACAGTAGATAAAATTAATATTCTCATGTAAGATCATTGGATTTACTGCTCTTGTCAGTGAAACCTAATCTTACCACAGCCCTGTTAGAACTGGTTCTTTACATTTTTGTTATTACAAAGCAATGTTCCATATTTATTTTGTATAGTGAACATTCTTTATAAAGTAAAAGAAAGAACATCTTATGTGGAGGTCATGCCTCTCTGTGATGTAGTAGCTACCGACATCTAAGTCACTAAGCAGATGCTTTATTTATTTATTTATTTATTTCATATTGCAGACTTAATGTGAATATTCTCAGGCACTCCTGATTTCCAGCTGTATTGATCCATGAGAGAGCCTCCATTCTGTAAGATAAGTGAACTTCTTAATGTATTTCATGAACTGTTAATAAAATTGTGAAATGTGATATAAAAGGTGGGTGGATAATGTTAGCAGGCATTTTTTTAGCTATACTGGCCAAATACAGAGCCTACTTTATGTAAGGCCATAAACGGACTTTTTATGTACATCATCAGATTATTGTTATATTCAGCATGAGTCATGTTTGCATAATGTTTATAGGCAATTGTGACATTTGGCTCTGTTGACCAGTTACAGAGCCTAGTTTACACATGAATATAAATGGACTTTCCCATAAAGGTAAAGGTAAAGGTAAAGTTGTTCTTATTCTTAATTAATTAATTAATTCCCACACCATGAAGTTGTATGGGACAGTGGAGGTATAGCTCCATTCTTGACCTCAGTACTTGATAGAGGCGAGTGGATAGAGCTCCCTGTACCCAATGGATAGGTGGGTGGGTGGGCCCCAGAGCTGGTCTGGATGCTGTGAAGAAGAGAAAATTGTTTCCCTGCCTGAAATCAATCCCCGGCTATCCAGCCAATAGTTCATCACTGTACTTTCCCATATAGGCTGTACCATAAAACATTTAACATATTTTGATGCAATTTGATATTCTACATTACCATGCTGTTGAAATAAACAGATTTTTCATGTTATCTGTAACATTTTTGTGTTTCATTGAAGTGTCATGTATAAAACTGCTGTCAGTCAGCTTAAAAAGTGTAAAGGACACTGTTGAGAAACTAATAGAAAGTTGATTATTCTTAGTCATAACAGTTCAGCTGAATGTGATGTACCAGTAAACATAATTAAACAAGAGTAAAAAAAATATGCTCTATTCTTTGCAGTTAAGTCTGCTTGTGCCTAGTTTATAAATGACATTTGGATGAAAAGAAATACAGAGAGGCCAAGAAAGAGGTGTACACACCTCAATGTACACATTTTAGAATGTGTTGTACATTTGATCTGTTAATTCCTGTCTCATGTGCACATTGTTTTACATACTTCTGAGGTGATAATGTAAAGTGTTCCACCACTATAGCAGAAGAGGTAGGACTCATTGCTGTGGGAGTCCTACCATATCTTTGCTCATGCACATCATGTGCTGTACCATTGGTCTTAAATTTGTCACAGATGCATACAAATGTTAATCATGTTGGTGGTTCCATTGCAAATTCATGCTGTCGCTGTCATCATACTATGCACACACATTTTCAAATTTCCAGGCCCACTCCAAAATTATCTCACATTTTTCAAATGACAACCTTTCGGCCACTATTTTCTTTGACTGTCCTGCCATATGATAAGGTGGCTCTTGTCATTTATGTGACTAGGGCCATCTTTTGAGAGAATATCACACCACACATCGTGCATTACATTTTAGTTAAACTTTAAAAAGGTCCATAGATAACCCCTATTAAAGTGTGTATACATTTTTTTGAGATGAAATTAACGCAATAATATCTAAACAGCATATTAATGCACAACATAGAACTGCAACAGAATTTTTGATCGGAGTTTTTACCAAGCAGCTTCTGTTTCTTACTAGTAATAACTGACAGTAACAGATTTTGAATTTTGCTGTAATATATATACAGAATAGTTACCAGAAAAAATATTTTGGCATGAAGATTTGGAGCAGTTATGATGGCTTGAAATGCTACCAGACTTAAAAAGACTCAAAAAGAGTGAATTAAAAGGAGCAATTTTGACACTTTATGAACGTTGTAAATATGAAACATGTGCAGACGTACTGCTTCATCTGTGATCTGTTGCTTATCAGTATCAGAATATGTAGCAGGTAAAACTGTGCAGAAGGTGTGGCACTCAAATTAAGAGCTTAACATGTATATTCATAGAGCATACTGAAATGTACTCATGTAATTGAAAAACAGACTTGAATTGCATGAAAACACTCATCCTCAGTGTTTGTTCATCACTTGAAGTATGCTGCATCTGGTATCCCCATTTTCTTAATTTTCTGGGAGCTTTGTGAACTCTGTGCATATAATAACACAGCTGTTCATCAGTACTTGTCAATATCGCAATTTAATGTGTAGTACATTAGTCACAAAGTACTGCTTTTAATGTTTAGAATCTCGGATAAGTAAGAGCACTAAATTTTCAAGATTTTATATCTGTCTGTTAAGCATAAACACTTACGGCTTAGTGTGTGAGTGTGAAGTTACCTGGGTTTTGATCTGAATTTCATTATCTTCATATTTATTTTGCTCTGGTTCTTCTTTCTGTGATGATGGTTCTGAAAGGAAGACAGCTCTATGTATTATTCCTGTAGAGGAAATGCTGAACTACCACAATGACCTGAGAATTGTTTTAGAGATGAGAAATCAGCAATGTGGGAAGTTCAGTAAGATATGCATCAGTTGGGCATTAAAATCAGTTGTGTAGTTTATCATGGGTGCTTACTTTATTCTCTGCTCCATCACTGCTCTCCTGCTATGGAGGATGATATGATTCAGATTGCAGGTGGCAGAGCAAAGACAAATAAAATCGGTTTATAGTAAATAATGTTGTTATCTGTAGCATCTATGAACTTACTATATTCCTTAGGGAACTGGGTGGTCTGTTTATACAAGCCATTTCATTGAGTTCTGTATTAAAGATATTTGTTTCAAGACTGTCTAAATATAATTCTGATTTTCCTTCTCCTTATTTCGAATAAAAACAGCTAATTTACTCAATGGAGCAGAATCCTCCTTGAGAAGGTTTTAGTCACTCATTAAGAAATTATCTGCCTTTTATAGAACCAAAAGATTTGTTACTGTGTTCTTGAAATTGTGCCACGACCCTATCCTTAACCAGGTGAATCCATATCTTAATCTGTTTCTGTTATCTGCTGTTAATATTATCCTGTCATCTGTGTTTAGGTCTCCCAAGCTCTCTTTAGTTTTTCTGAAGAACCTTTATATATATTTCTTATCTCTCCAGTGTTTGCATCATGCTGTTCTCCTCTCATCCTTATTGATTTGAAAACCCTAATAATAATAATACCCAGAATTACTAGGTTTTTGGACTCTGTTTATCATCCAGTATTCTAGAAACTAGAGAAAACAACGTTTCGGAAACTGGGCCTGTTTCTGAATCGTCTTTTCTTGTTTCTAGAATAGCGGAGGATGGGCAAAGTACAGAAACCCAGTAATTCTGAGTGTTATACACCATCATCAGAACCCTTTAGGATCTACCTAATAATAACATTTGATGAGGAGTAAAAATTATGAAACTTGTCATTATGAAGTTTTCTCCATTTGCCAGTTCCTTCTTTTCTTACACCCATATTAAAATGGCCTCATTAGCACCTTTATCTTGAAATCCTTAATTTGTGCTCTTCTCTCAGGGTGAAAGTTACTGATGCCCATATAAAATGACAGATAAGATTCTTGTAGTGGTGACTATGAGGAATAATGCCTTCTGGGTTGTGACACCATGAAGTTTAGTAGAAGTCCTCCAACATTTAGGAGGAACATATTTCCTCCAACTTCAGAACTGAAGAGGAAGAAACTAGCATTAAGCCCTGAAGATTCAGGCAGTACATTCCTCTGAAATATCAGTGGACTTCTATTGAAGTACATGGCATTACAAGCCAGAAGATTGTACTCTTAAGGTAAAACTGTAGTTTTGTATATTTTCATCATCATGTTTTTAGATGAACAATGAACTTACAACAAATTCAAAAAAGTTTTAGAAATCTAGACCTATCAGAAATTTTGTTCACCACACTTCTCGTTATTGAGCATCATCTAGTCCAACTCACAGTGTCTTATGTTAACCTTATTATGGTCACACTGTAGTCTCTGCATCTGGAGCAGCAGTAGATTCTATTGATTTTTGTCTTGACCACATATTAACCTTAACTCACCATGCATTGCATTACTGCAGTGGTGCATATGAGCAGTCCACATCACTGAGTATTGCACTTCTTCATTTTTGACACCATTACCTCTGAGTTAAAATCTGGCTGCCAATTCCATAGTACTAGAGAATTTGGAATCTTCCAATTTAAGTTAAGATCTGGCTGCCAACCCTTCAGAACTAGGACAATTAATGTCACCTATTGCAATGTAATAAAGGGTGAACTACTAATTCAAAGACCTTGTTGACAGACTAGTGCTTACTTACTCAAAATAATCATAATACACTGCTGCAGGATTATGCTATGTGCTTTTCTTTGTTTTCAGGATTACTACACACCCAAAAACTGCTAGCATGTCAAATGTGTGAAGTACCATTATATTATTCTGATCACTTTAGCCTGAATTCGTAGAAACTGTATTAAATTTCCAGCAAGCTGACAGTGATGGTTACTGGGGCTCCAAAGTGCATACTTTACCAATTGAGTGCTGGAGTGCAGTGTGTAGAAGCTCCTTCTCCCTCTTGCACTCTGCTTCCAGACGATGGCGCTCCTCGGGTGATGACACCAGGCTCTGCTCTATCTCAAGAGTGGAGCTGTCCAGCATCTTCTTGCTTGTCTCATATTCTTCCAGAGATTTCCTGGAACAAATATAAGATGACAGGGTTATTTTCAGTAATTGATTAATCTATAAATTACAATGTAATTTTTTTTTTTTCCAGGACAGAAGCATCACTAACAGAGAAAGGAATAATCCTGTTGCAAATAGAATTCTGGTTACATTCTAAGTGGCCGTTTTAATATGCACCTATAAATACATGTAGTACTAGGATTTTCCAGTTTGAGTGCAGCCAGAATATTTGCTTGCAGACTTACGTTTAAGGTGTTTAGGACTATTTTTAACTGACCACCCTAGATTATTCAGGCTAGAGCAATTATCATTTTAAAAATATTTTACTTATTAATATATGGTATATTTACTTCTTTTCTTCCAGAAACACTTAGGGGTGGGTGTCAGGTGCTTCATTAGCTCCACCCCACCCTGCTAGCACCCAAGCCTGCAGATATACTGGTAAATTAAATAAGAATATTTGGACACCTTCATGTTAATAGCCCTGCTACTTTATTATATTTTATTTTCATAGACGTATAAATAACTAAATTCCTTATACAAGTATAATTCATCTGCAAAAAATAATGTTCTCAGCCATGCATCTGCACATTTTCAACAGTAAAATTACCCTGCTTAGTGCCCTTCTGTCTTATGTGTCCTCTGTTCTTCAAGGGGCCTGAGAGAGCCAAATCAGGACATTATTATAATCTTTGAATGGACCGTGACAGTAAATCTGATTTAATATAATGGTCTCTGCACAAAATATATAGAATGAATTATGGAGAGCTTCTGTCGACATGTTCTATCTTCAAAACTACAAAACCAGTAACTGGAAATGTAGTATTCAGAATTATTATTGAGTATTCCTGGACATATCTAATTTTGTTCATTCCAGTACTTACAGCCCAGATTTTATATAAAGCCAAACTGAAATTTCTTTAGTATCTTCAAAAAGCTCACCACATAAAAAAAATGGAACATGACATTACATTTAAATCTGCTTGCAACCTATAACTTTTATTTCAAGCATTTGCCTGTATGATACATATTTGATGGAAATTGAACCGAACTGTTTCTTTGATGTACCATCCCCTTCAACAATCTGGTAGTTGCTCAGTAGATAAAAAATTCAACACCTTTTATGAAACTTTAAGGTTCATTACCATGTTCACAAGAACTCACTTTTGGACCATGTCCTGAGGCACTTGAATCCAGTACATACCCTATTTCCTAACGATTTGTCTTAATATTATTTGTAGTCAGTATAGCAACTGGCTATGGGCTGGACAACCAAGAGTTTGAGTCCTGGTAGGGTCAAGAATTTTCTCTTCTACAAGTTGTCCAGACTGGTTTTGGGGTTCATGCAACCTGCTATCCAATGGGCAATGGGGCTCTTTCTCCCGGGGTAAAGTGGCTGTGGCATGAAGCTGACCACTCATCTTCAACTAGTGCCAAGGTCAAGAAAATATGGACCTATACATCCACTCCCCCATATGCCTTCATAGCATAGTGCATAATTAGTTAAGCACAGGGACAACTTTACCTTACCTGTTATCCTTCCATCTGTGCCTAGGTGCATTGTGTGGCTACTTGGCTCCATGTTTCCTGACCAGAACTTTGAAGGCATTTCTCATGTCACCCATGCATACTGCTGTCCCACCGTGAGTTTTTTGTAATTTAATTTGCTGTACAGTGCAGTCTCATTTCCTGTGCTCTGTTTATAATATATAGTTTTATCTTATACGTCGTTAAGCATTGTAAAGTCTAATAATTAACACGTAGACAGTGGTAAAGAAATTGGTCTAGAAGTAAACTCAGAAAAGCAGTAAGTTTGTGTTGATATATCACCAACAGAATTCAGGATAAATTCGTAATATAAATATAGCTAATAGATACTTAAAAATTTGGTGAGGTTCAGATATTTGGGAATGGCAGTGACAGATCAAAATTTTGATTTTTGAGGTGATTAAGAGCGGAATTATTATGGGTAATGTTTGCTACCATTCGTTTCAGAATCCTTTGTCTTCTTGTCTGCTGTCCAAAAACTTAAGTTAAAATATACGAAACTGTAATTTTGCTTTTAGTTTTGTATGGGTGTGAAACTTGGTTTCAGATATTAAGGCAGTGGTGTGCGGTACTATTTTTGGTAAGGGAAGCAGTGGTATCTAATAAACGAACTGGTAGCAATCAACTCACCAAAATTTACGTCACTTATTGAGCCAATAAGGTCGTTTTGTATTCTGTTTGATAAACCTGTAAATACTGTACTGTTCTCAAGGTGAACGTTGAGCTCATGATCATATATCCTCAACAAGTGAACTAATTCCACATAATTACCTTGGTCGATAGAATCCACGCTTTTGTCATGACCACGGAGACCAAGTTGCCACTTTCCTAAATGGCAGATGATATCAATCAAGCGTTTCATTATTTCTCTATATAGTATTGTCAGGTGCTTTTGATTGTCAAGTTGACTGTCAATTCGAGATTTCCCGAATATAACAAGTTGCACTGTTGAAATAATGTGAGTCAGAGTTCTCATGTCGTTTCAATGCTATATAAAGGTTGTTGATATCACCAAACCCAGTCTTGTTCCATACATTTTTTCCTTGAGAAACAATAGGCATGGCCAACAAAACAATTTTCCTATATTACGGCAACCGGATAGCCACTCTGTTTTAGAATACTATTCCAAATTAAATTTCCTCACACATAATTTGGTTTGTGCTTTAAGTTCTGGCACCTCTCATGTTGGTCGTCCTCTTTCTATAATTATTTTCTTTTCAGAAACGTCCCTGCTATTAAACCCCCATTTTAAAAGGCTTTCAATTGCACAGTTGCAGTCGCGTTGTTTGCCAACATTCATTTTAGCTTTGGCCTGTGCATGTAGTCTAATCACGCCCCTGCCCCTGTACTGCAATACTCCACTTGCTTCCCTTCAACGCAGATAGCTTCTTTCTGATGCGTCAGAATACTATCACAAATACAATCTTACGCTATCTAAATATACACCTACAATATTTTAATAAAACTTAGGTTACCTATAACACCCAACAAGACTGAAATGACACATAAACAGTTAGTTTTCACATAACCATTGAAAGACCACAGGCCTTTGCTTCCATATCACAGGCATTAGCCAGCAAACCGAAAGTTGCTTCCTTGCCCACTTCGTGTGTGACGAATTCCTACAGAGAATAACGAAGAAAACTTGGTCCATCCCACCAAGCAAGGGAAGGAAGGAGGAGGAGGCATGTGGCCTTGAGCAGGAATGCACGCTAAATGACAATATTCAAATCCTTATTATTCAAATTGAATTATTTATGTATGACTTCTTTTCTTTTTGTTTCTTAACTACGGAAGCAATGCTTCCCTTGCTTCCGTGCACGGCATGCCACTGTATTAAGGGAAGAGCATAAACTGAGGGTGTTTGGAAGCAGTGTGTTAAGGAGGATATTTGGATCCAGGAGGGATGAAATAATAGGCTGGAGAAAATAACATAATGAGGAGCTTTATAAGTCAAGGTGAATGGGATGTGCAGGGCATATAATATATGGGAGGGGGGAAGGAATACATACTGAGTTCTGGAAGTAAACCAGAAAGAAAAAACCACTAGGAAGACCTAGACATAGGTGGGAGGAGGATAATAATGTAAAATGGATATTAGAGAAATAAGACGGGTGTATGTACTGTATTCATGTGGCTCATGGTAGAGACCAATGGCAGGCGCTTGCAAACCCAGTAATGAACCTTCAGGTTCTGTAAAATGCTGGAAATTTCTTGAGTGGCTGAGCAACTGTTGGATTGGCAAGAAGGACTCAGCTCTATGGAATTAATTAGCTGTAAATTTATATCATCATAGGTTTTGAAATTCACATGTGAGAATGGTTCTACCTCTAGAAGTTAGAGCATATTTAATCATCAGTATCAAAAACATATAGCTGTGACTATATTGCTTGAAAAACAACCAGCACTGAACAGTTCAGCAACCTGATTCTTGAACTTTTCATTGCACAGTTGCATAGCTTATTCCCACACTGCTACAGCAAACACAGGTGGAGTGCCTGTTTATCTACTGCATGATGCATTTGGTGAAAAATTATTAGCAAAGATTATCTGGCCACCCAAGTCTCCTAAATTTGCAGATCTGCATTACTTGTCAATTGCATTGAAAGGATAAGTATAGAAACAGGCTTCTTGATCTTTGGACAATCTCCTATTCCCACACATCTTCTTTCCTAGTGGTCAGTTGTGCAACTGCATTAGGAAGATCACTAACCTGAATTCTCTCACTGCAGAATGATAGTATAAACCAAAGAACATAAGATTTATTTTAGAAAAATAAACAAAGATCAGAACAGCTTTTAAAAATTCAAAAATATATGGCATTAGCCAGTATTTATAGAAAATCATCATGGGTTTATAGTCCAAACAAATTCAGTTATCAACAAGCTACTTGTGTCCCACAGGCCATGGGCTGCATACACCTGCCCTGTCTTTACTTGATAACCTCCTCCATGATTCGGGATTCCTCCTCTGTCTGAAGGCTTTCATCTCTTTCAGTTGGCAGGAATGACTGTGGGGTGATGCCATAGCGCTGTTGGATCATCTCCAGTGCCTGCAGCTGAAGCTCTACGTTCTTCTGGATCATCATCCTTTTGAAGATTTCGTAGTCATTAGCTGCCCACACCTGCTCAAACAGGGTCTGAAAAAGGCATATACTCATAACAGTAAGTTTCCAGTGTACAGACCTAGTGCCAGCAAGAGTTTTGGGAAGAAGAAATAATGTGAGTCAGTGTACGTGGGATTAGATTTGATATGCTTGTATTTACCCTTTGAATACAAATAACATTGTGAGTAGTAAGGGTGTGCCAAACCATAATGTGCTCAGCATTTGTTTTGGTTCACTACCCTCCATTTCTCTTCCACATTTAAAACACTCCATACCTCTGGTCTGGTGTGCAGACTGTATAGTTTGAGATGAGAAACCCTGCTTGTGATATGGATTTACAGGTAGAGTCAAAGCCTGAACTTCAGAACATGTAAGCTTGCCTGTCATTATGGCAGGTTTCACTACATGCAGCCTTATAAGTAATTCACTTTGCTGTCACATATGTCCATCAGCAGCTATACCTCCAATGAAAATACTCCTACATAACTTTACCTGTGACATGCTTAAGTGCTGCTGTCATGATAACGGTAACTTTCAGTACCAGGCATTATGTTTGAATTATGGATCAAGAAGGTAGCACCAAATTTGATTTCCCACTGTAATCTTGTTCAGAATTCCTCAATTACTGGTGATTCTGTTAACCACTACCCCCTTATCAAGGGAATGTTCTTCATGCTGAAAGATTTTATAGAGCGCAGTGCTCATACACTCAATACATGTTAAGAACATCATGCAGAACTTCATAACAAACGCTGTGGAACAGTTAACACTCAGAACCCTTTAGAATCAATATTTTAAAAGTTCTTCCAACTTTTTCAGTTGTTTGCAGCCCTCTTCAATAGAAGCACTGGCATGGGAGGCAAGCCAATCTCCTGCCTCTCTTTCTGGTTTTTTCAAATAATGAAAATTGAAAATATGGAGGAAATATAACAAATATTAACAACAAAAGATTCTGAGCATAGTTTGCAGCACCATCTGTGTTCCAGTATTCAGACCAAGAACTCTAGAACAACTTGTGATTGTGATGTTCTGATGCACAGTTCTGAAAATTATAAAATTTGGAGGACCAAACGCACCCTGCTCCACGCTTGTGGGAGCCTACCACATTGAACCAAGCACTTTCCAAACCGAATGGACCACGGCAGCTCCATCGCCCATTGGGTCAGGTGCCACTAGCGACAGCATATAAAGATGTCGGCCTCCGACACCCTAGTGAGCTGCAGCAGTGCTTGCATTGAGACAGATTATTAGGAGCACAGACAGCAACAGTGAGTCTCCTGGCAGTGACACTGCCAGCTGATGCAAGGAGGACCAGCTGGCTGCCAATGCAAGGAATACTGAGGAGCCAGCCTGCTGTGGCTGGAGTTTCACCATCATTCATTGGGCACACCCTACCTTAAAGTTACAGCCTTTTTTGGGACCCACAGTACCTCACCAGTTACTGAACCCTCTGCCTGCCCACCTGCCTGCCTGCCTGCCTGCCTGCTCATCTGTACACTCTTCTATTGTTTATGAGCCTCTGCAAAGTACTTAAATAGACAACAATTAACCATCTAGTATAGAGTCTGATCCACTTGATAGTTATTGTGAAATTTAAAGGTTCATACACATTCTATCATTGACTATATTTCAACCCAGTTACAACTTATTTCCATAAGCCGTCCTTTAGGCTCCTTTAATTTGCAGTGTAGTTCTGAAAGTGGTCTGTCTTTTCATGGCATTTTCAAATAAAATATTGTGTTCATTTCTCTTCTCCTTGAACGTGAGATGTCCGGCCCATCTTAACTTCCTTGGTGTCACCCTAATAATACTTAGTGAAGAGATGAAATCACAAAGCTTCCCATAATGTTATTCTCTCTGCCCCTGTTTCTATCTAAATCCAGATATTCTTTGCAGAATATTGTTTTCAAATTAATTAAGCCTCTCTCATACTAGAGTTAAGAGATCACATTTCAGTTACAACTAAAATTACAGTGTTGAATATTTTGATGTATTGCCTTCGAGGAAGAATATGAAAACATAACAGATTATGTAAAACTGTCGGAATAAATTTCCTGATAATTCTGCTCCAAGTTTAATCAAGATTGTAATTCCTGTTACTGTGAATTTTTAGTATTTAATTTTTTCTGATTATATTAGCAATTTTCATATTTTAATTTTTCTGTGAATTCTGGTGACAGGACGTAAACACACCCTTGAATTTTTATATCTGTTTTTAGATCCAGTGCTCTTCCTGCCTTTTAAACTTTGTAGGGCAGTAATATCTAAATATACATTCTGCTTTATTAGTCATTCACTGGTAGTATTCATGTCTTCATTTTCCCAGGTAGAAGTAAATGTTTGAAGGTTACAGTATTCTGTGATGTGATGCCATGTAGTTTGCTGGATAGATACATGTTTCAGAGGAACCTTTGACACAAAATCCTAGAAGATTGTAATCTTCATTGTCACTGCTATGAGAACCTTTGATTTCACAAGTGCCTTTTTTGAATGAACTTGATAATGGAGCTGCATTGTGCTTTTTTGAAAGTGTGAACCAAATTTTTGTAATATATTTGGATGAGTATAGCTATTTAATTAAGTAAGAGAACAAATATTCACAGTTTTGTTTTTAAAGGAAATGTTACAAAACACAACTATTTTAAGCTAAATATCTGAGGGGGGGGGGAAGAGAGAGAGAGACTAGTGCCCTACCTGATGAAATCGTATGTGCAGTCCTCCTGCAGTATTCTTACTGCACGCATTTTCAAATTGCTCTGGTGTCATACCTATATCCTCCATGTAACTTCCCAGCATTGAATCCACCTTAAATGAAAGTAAGAGACCATACAAAGAATAAATGGCACATGATATGAACATATTTTGAAAGAGGAAGGCTTGTTTATATACTGTAATTAAATGTAATTATATATTCTATGTAGATTATTATTTAAAACTGATGTATGAAGTACCAGCGATTTTCAGTGACAGATGCCTGTCTGTCCAAAGAAATTTTAACTCTTCTTTCCTGCCAGTAGAGCAACTCTGCTGACAAGGAAGGTTTTTCTGTTAGGCCTTCCATGATCTGATCTGGTCAGTGCTTACAGGATGGTTTTCTTTTGCATATACAGGGCATGAGGTACAGCACACGGTAACGTAGTTGGTTGATGCACTATGCTACAAGGCAGAAGGTCACAGGTTCGTTTACTGATCAGGTTACTGAATTTTTTCAATTGGCCTAACCCTTCCAGCTACACTATGGCCCTGAGATTGACTCAGCCTCTAACATAAATGAGTACCAGGAACCTTCCTGGGGGTAAAGGACGGCCGGTCCATGCTAAGGCTGACAACCTCACCACCATTTATGAGCCGATTGTCTAGAAAATGTGGAAGTCTCAACGTTTCACAATCCCATGGGTCTCCACAGCCTGTTACAGGGCCACCCTTTACACCCAGGAAGGTTCCTGGTACTCATTTATGTTAGAGGCTGCATCGACCCCAGGGCCACAGTGCGGCTGGAAGGAATAGAGCAACTGAAAAATACATTGACCTCATCGGTAATCGAACCAGCGACCTTCTCGCTTTTCGTGTGGTGCCTCAACCAACTACGCTACTGCATACCCCGTCACAGTAAAGATATGTATAATAAAACGGAAAAAGTAAAGATAACAATACATGTTAATCGAATTTATAGCTTCGTATTAAAAAGTGCCAGACGGGTTACTTAGCAATAATGATTTAGACTTCAATTCAGGGCATGCTAGGTTTGAGCCTTGGCCTCGACATTGATTGTCCAGACTGAGGTAACTTTATGATCTTCCTGAATCCCTCCAGGTGAATATCAGGGTAGTACTTGTAGTATCAAGGTACTTGATTAGGCAGTGACCAATTCCTTTTACACCATTTCTAAATTAATACTGTCACGTGTATGAGTGACTATAGACAGGTTTTGGATTGATATCGGATTTATTGGGCACTTACAGGTCGTAACGATAAGTCACAATAACACTATGACTATTTCAACACTTTAAAAAACAAGCTAAATATTTTCCAGCCCGCAGTGTCTTCACTACTAGTTGCCTGGTAACGGATTTTAACAATGGCTATTCCTCTACTTCTGGACTCGAAGTCCTTTCTGAACAGCTGCTTCTTCCCAAATGAACTTTTTTCCTCCCATATTCCCGAACAGAACTGGCTCGGTTAAGTCAAAGTTAAAGTTATGTTACGAACGACGGTCAGTCAGCCAATGTACCTTGAAATAAAGCACCCGTCTGGGGCTTAAGACTAGATCTTTATTTTTTTATTGCTAGTGGGATGGGACTAAGTCCCTTGTATTGCGGCCACTTCTGGCCTATTGTACCAGCCCCAGATGATAGGTGAGGGTGATTGTGGACCAATTGGAGGAATGAAGGTTGGCAGGAGAAGCCGAAGTACTTGGAGAAAACCTACCCCAGCGCCACTTTGTCCACCACAAATCCCACTTGACCAGACCCGGGATCGAACCCGGGCCGCCGCGGTACGAAGCCAGCGACTAACCTCTTGAGCTATGGCCTAGCCCCAGATCTTTATTACTGTCAGACGGTTGCAGGCTTGTTGATGTGGGGCGCCCTCTCTGACGAGAAGACGGGTCTGTCATGTGCCAGAGTCATAGCTGTAATAAGTCTGTTTTCAGCATGTACAGTTTATATTTTACATGTTTTTAAATGTATGTATATACAACATATAAAGGGCCTCTGTCAGTACAGCAGATCATGCCCTATCATTAGTAGCTCCTGCTACAACAGCAGTCTAGTAATTTGAACGCTCGTATGCTTGACAGCCTCCAAATTTAAGCCTCTTATATTTCCTGTGTCCGGGTTCGCCTTGTCCAATGTTTCATTTTCACGATTTGTATGACTTCTGCTTGTTGCCTGCGTAATTTTGTTATATAATTATATATATATATACACGGAAGTTTTAAAGCCATGTGCAAATCGTGAACCGGTGTGCGCCTTGGAAAATTTCCAACGGTGCTGAGAATTTTGTTTTGTAGGCGCTGCAATTTCGGTAGATGGTTGCCTGCTGCAAACTCCCAGGCGGGCTAAGCATAGTCATAATACTCCTAATGAGTGCTTTGTGGAGGGTTAGTTAATGTTAGTGCTTAATCGCTCACTTTTATATAGGGAATATAGTCTAATAAATGTTCTGAAAGGCCTTGGCTTCGATAATTTATATGTGTAATCTCCATGTAATTTTGTTATCGAAGATTACACCGCGATATTTTACGCTATTTACAAATGAAATGTTTTGTTCATTCAGTGTAAGATGGGACTCAGGCGGTCGACGACCACGAGAAAGGAAAATCCCGTGAGTCTTACCTTCATTTCTTTTAATATTCAAACGCTCACACCAGGTCTCCATTGAGCTGAGACCACGCTGGAGTTTTCTGACAACAAAACCCTCCTTACGATCTGTCGCATACAGACAAGTGACATCGGCAAAGAGGGCTAGGTAAACACCGGGTGTTTGTGGGACATCATTTATGAGACACCTCTGCTCATATTTCCCTTGGTGTAGATATTTCGTCTTCTATCGAAACACTGAATTTGCGTTGTGAAAGAAAAGAGCTAATGAGCTTGATGAAACTGGTCGAAAATTCCTAATTAGATAATTTATACAGCAAGCCAGAATGTCATGTGGTATCAAAGGCTTTTTTCGATGTCCAAGAATACCGTGGCCACAGACATATTATTATTGTTGAAATTAAGGGTCACGTGGTCCTTTAGCCTCATACGTATACATCGCAGTGTCGTGCTCGGACGTGCAAGGAAACCAAATTGGCTTGCGTTAAGCAGGCTTATTTCTTCAATGTGCTTTTGGACTATATTCAGGATGACTTTTTCTAATAATATAAGTACTTGTTGTGGACAGGAGGCTAATCGGACGTGAATTTTGGGTCCTTACTGGGTTTCGGTAACATTGTGACTTTTGATTCCTTCCAAGGCTTTAGGAAATGGGCAGCTGAAGGCACTGATTAAATAAATGTGCCAAGTGTACCAATGGTCGCCTTGGAAGGTGCCTGAGGCATTCATTTGGAATGCCATCAATTCAGCAGATCTTTCTCAATTTCAAGGAATGAATTAATTTTTGTTAAGTTACATGGTCTTATTTTCTCAGGAGGGCTTGTTGTCTATGGCTTCGAGCAGAGCCTCACCTTTAGCCTCCACCCGCCTCTCATGGCTTTCGTCACACAAGTCCTGTGTGAATTGATTTTGCAAGCAGTCAGCAATTGCTTTGGCTTTCTCGGTCGGATGAAATTTTAAGGATTGTAGGACCATGAATAGCAATTGGTGCCCTTGGTCCATCCTTGTTTAGGAATGATTTCGCAATGGGCCAAATAGCCTGAGGTGTGACTTCATATTTACCTGTTTTTGTTTTCACACCGTTCAAGTGCCTTTTTACAGGTCATTCGGTTGATTGAGTTCGTGACCAAATTAACTGCCGTTTTACAAGCTGTACATGCTACAGTATTTACTCATCATCCTTTCATTCGACGTTAAAAATTCTACAGCTACAGATAACGTAATTAAATAACAATACTCTTTAAGACGTTCTGGAACCCTGACAAGTTGGTACCAGTTGAGATAATTTGTAATTCAAGTAAATTTGTACCTTCACTTTTAGAAATGTTTGTACCCGTCTTAAAATTAAGGGTCCGGGATTAGTTTAACTTGACCTGAGGATAAGGAATTTGTGATGATACCATCTTCTTCCTTCGGTGCATTAATGATATTAAAACCAACGAAGCTGTCTTACCAGGTCTTTGTATTCCTCGTGGATTTTCCTGAATTCGTCTTCATGTTCAGAGTGCCCCGGCTCGAAGACTGTAAAATGCAAAGCGACAACATTATGTTATTTTCATAATGAGTTTAATTTACAAAAGAACGCTCTCATTTGGGACGTGACGTTGTGTAGTATAGCAGACCGTGTTACCGCTGTTCCGGAACATTATTTATGGTTTATTTAACGACGCTGCCGCTACCTCACACTGTATTGTGTGCAGTGATAGGACGAGTAGTCATGAATAATGAATTTGACAGGATATGGAAGAAAGCGGACGTAGCTTAGATACTGAGTGAAACCACAGAAATCGTAAATCAGAACAGTCAGTATTTGAGTTTGGAACCTTCCGAATAAGGCTCGGCTTTTGGTCGTGTCGGAGAGAACTTCTTCCTTTGTCTTCACTACTGAAAAGTAACTCTTACGGCTGTTGTGTCATGAAGACGAAGGCAGCAGTTTTGTCCCGAGAGTTGCTAACGATCTACCAGACGGCACGGTATCACATCATAGAAGACAGTAGTATTCATAGCCACCGCCTTGAGAACGTCAAACTTCAAAATGACTTCATTTGTTAGTGTATTTTCAGACCGGGCTTATTTTATAAACATAATCAGTGGAAGTCACAGAGTGTGACGTGAAGTGTCGATAGGTAGCAAGAGAATAGCTTTCAGTTATTACATCAGACATAAAGTTGCATATCTTCGGACCGGAAGTAGCGTTGGTAAACTTCTTTCGTAGATCGGAAAGGGTGTAATGCACGAACAGAACCTTCAATTGCTTAAACATCAGCTTTCTACTCCGTGTCTCCTAATCAGCCATTAATAATATGCGCTATCATATGTCTTAAATTTTTTTTTAATTCGCTGAGAGGGGGTTGGAGTCCAACTAGGTCCACTCGTCACGGGGGCTACTTATTGGCTTATTGTAGCCTGCCCTGGGTGATTATGATGATGGAGAATTTGGTGGAATGAAGATTGGCAGGGGAAACCGAAATATTCGGAGAAAACCCGCCCCAGCGCCACTTTGTCCACCACAAATCCCACTTGACCAGACCCCGGGATCGAACCCGGGCCGCCGCGGTGGGAAGCCAGCGACTAACCGCTTGAGCTATGGCGCGGCCATCCATATGTCTTAATGAAATACGCCTGCAATTCTGTCTTTAGACTACCTATCTAACAAAAATGCTGAAGAAGGCGCCGCACTGACACGGCGCTGCGGTTCATTAGTTAATAAACAATTCTGTAAAAACTGCATAGATATTTAGCGTCGAATAATTTAAAATGATGAGAATGCACGATGAGTTTGAAAGGATCTGGAATTAAGTTGTCTTCGCCTAGTTTAGCGCAAGGCATTCTAGTCAGTTGCACTCTTTGACATTAAGTGAACAACGACATTATCGAGTATGACCAACTTGATTTAATTACATAGAAAACTTTACATGTTTTAGTTAATTAACTGTACGAGAGTGAAATTGGTGAACAATTGACCGTCATAACTATTAAGCACTTCCTCGCGTGTTGAGCTCCTTCTGACGACGGTCTCTTAAGACAGAAACTTGTATAGGTCTCTACGTAATTATAAACCAAATTGGTCCACTCGATAGTGTCGTTGTTCACTTATTGTCTTGGCCTAATTTAAAACATCGTCCTGGCCTTCCGTTCAAGTGACTGAGGAAAACAACGAAAATTTCAGCGTCGCTTAATTCAGTCATGTTTTCGAATACTTGTATGAAACGTGTGTTAAAGTTAAGGGCATGCGTCCGCAAACGGTTTCTAATTTTTTCGAGCTGTAACGCCATTGAAAGCAGATTCCGCCTTTGGAGAGCGTATGGGACCAGCCCCATCGACTTTCCATCTTCGCAGCCTATTTTCTTTAAGACTAAACTTAACAATGTGGAAGTCTGCCGCTCCGTAGCTCAAGCGGTTAGTCGCTGGCTTCCCCCCGCGGCGGCCCGGGTTCGATCCCGGGGTCTGGTCAAGTGGGATTTGTGGTGGACAAAGTGGCGCTGGGGCAGGTTTCCTCCGCCTACTTCGGTTTCCCCTGCCAATCTTCATTCCACCAATTGCTCCACAATCACCCTCACATATCATCTGGGGCTGGTACAATAGGCCAGAAGTGGCCGCAGTACAAGAGACTTAGTCCCACCCCACTACCAATAAAAAATAACAATGTGGACGGTTCCAGGTTTCCATTGCTGTTCAATACTGATTTGTATCTTGTTTCGGAGATCCTTATTTTCTTCAGCTTAAAGGTGAAATAATTTCCCAGTGGTTCTTGTAGGTGCAGTACAGGTACACAACATCAGTGAGGCCTGTTCCTTTTGTTCTGCCGACTGGCAGTCAATATAATATGAGACATAAAAATGCATTTTAAGGTCACTGGCCAATCACAAGTATGGATAGGGGCGAATGAACAATTAACAATTCAAATACTCACTTAGTAGCGATGAACTCTAATGCGAAGGGCTGTAGCATCGATAAAGAAGGGATGAGGCGGGCAAATGCTGTAACGGCGTCGTTCGGAAAGCAACCCCTGTCACGATTTGCTGCCCGCATCTCCTAATGTAACAACTAATTTCAATACGTAATGCTTGGCAGGATTCCCACGACATTTACTTAGACCGCTTTTTAACGTCCTGAAGAATAAACTGGAAAAGTAATTAAAGGGCGAATGCCTAATGACTAGCATGCTTCAAGTCCTCAACTCCTCGAAAATATGGGATCTTTGAGGAAAGCCAAGAATGTGACAAATAACACGGCTAATATCGCGCTACTGGAATCTTCTGGAGGCCTAGTTACAACACAATAGAAGCTTATTAATCTATTTGCGGATACGCTGAAAAATATATTCCCTTATATTTTCAGGGTTTGCCACTAAAAATTATCACCCTGAAAATGGAGGTAACATATTCCACTGAAACCTCTGTATCCACATACAAAACTACACGGTGCCAAAACCAAGAAGGCCACAAACTGAATACTAACGGCCATGAGGACCTGAAATCTTACAGCATACGTAATTACTGGGCAAAGTAGTGATCTGTAAATTTCTTAAGCTAAATTTACGTCTATTATCCCGTTAAAAGCTGGGTACAACCGCTTTGTTTGTCCGTCATCTCGACCTAAGTTATTGTTAGTATGTGATCTGTGTGTCAATTTTGAATCCAAAGAGTCCCCAATGTGTCTGGGTTGAATGGTCGATGTTATGTCTTCATTAAGTATTTCGAAGAAGGGGAAGTGTTCAGGCAGCGGAATATTTTTTTCGTTATTTTCTACATCTTGTAATATTAACTTTTACGCGTCGTCTTTAAAGGATGACTCTAAAAGGATCATAACGTTTCTTAATTTCGTAGTTGCTGCATGTCTTGCCTGATCACGCATATAAATGAAAAAAACATTTCAGCTGTATCAATTAATTTCTATTGTAAAAGGCTACGCAAACAACGTACACAAGATACTAAAAGTTTGGATCCCATAATTTTGAGCATCGAAAACCTTACACTCACCTTAAATTCACTGCGACCTTCGAAATATAAAATTCTATTTTCGCATAATTAAAAAATAATTATATTTTATTTTTATTCCATGGGCAGAATGTACGGCTCAATATTACACTTCGGCACAAATTAGGGACGTCACTGGAGTAATGAAATATTTGATTTCTCGTTTGCTGGACTACTGGATGGAAGTGAGTGCCTTTCCAGGAGACCCAGCGAGCAATTGGCTGGACATTCGCTTCCCTTTGCGAGCGGAGCGAAAGCTGAGACTTTACCACGCAGCCCTTTCAGATATAAATATCAAAACTGGCCACCTCCCAAATGAAGGCCTTTCTGAATTTTGGTGCAAAATAAGTACCTAATATACAGCATAGGAAAAACAAATGCCATGCTATTTATTGTTTAAAATTTCAGCAGAAACAGGGCCACCGACGCTATATAACTTGCCAATGGCTTCTACTCTGAGTCAGATAAATCCACTCCATACCCCACCCAATTTCCTTAACATTAATTTTCGTATAATATTATCCTCCCACATATGTTTTGGTCTTCCCAGTGATCCTTTTCATTCGCAAACTCTGTATTTACTGTTCTGCCATGCATGTTGCATGACCTGCCTATCCAATTCCACTGCATTGTATCCTTCTAATTATATTTGGTGATGAGTAGATTTAACAAAGCTTCAAATTATGAAATTTTCTCGAGCCTCCTATCATTTCAGCTCACTTCGATCCAGATACTATACTGAACACCGTTCTCAGATACCTTCAATCTATGGTCTTCGCTTAATATGAGAGACTAAATTTCACATCTATACAAAACTACAGACAAAATTATAATTTTGTGTATTTTCATAATATTTTTAAACAGGAGAAGAGAGGACAAAAGGTTCTGGACTGAATGGTAACAAGTATTACCCGAATTCAATCTCCTCTTAATTTCCTCCTAAATCAAATTTTGACCTGTTGCTGTAGCTACCAAGTATTTGACCTTTTCCGCACACTCGAAGGGTCTATTAGCCATTTTTATGTTACAATCTTCCCTGTATTCTGGCAACGAGATATGAATATATACTTAGTTTTTTCTGTGGGGACTGCTAACGGTACCTCGAGCAACCAGACAGACTCACGGGTGCGATGTAGACCCGCAGCTCTAATACACGTATTTCTAACTCTTTCCCGGCCGCGCCCTAGCTCAAGCGGTTAGTCGCTGGCTTCCCACCGCTGCAGCCCGGGTTCGATCCCGGGGTCTGGTCAAGTGAGATTTGTGGTGGACAAAGTGGCGCTGGGGCAGGTTTTTTCCTAGTACTTCGGTTTTTCCTGCCAATCTTCATTCCACCAATTGCTCCACAATCACCCTCAGCTATCATCTGGGGCTGGTACAACATGCCAGAAGTGGCCGCAGTACAAGGAACTTGGTCCCACCCCACTAGCAATAAAAACAAATCTCTTTCCTCCTATACGAGAGCCCTATCAGAATTAAATGCGAGTCTTCTAATATATGAGGAACCTTTTCACTCAACGTATGCAATAAACTGTCACTGATCATGTTTAGGTCAAACACAGTCGCCGCGCAGTCTAAGACATGAACTGTCTTCGCCCGCTTGAACACCGGAATCGTGGGTTCGAATCCTACTCGAGGCATGGATGTCTGCCTCCCTTCATTCTGTGTTTGTGTTGTTCTGTGTGGAAGTAGCGGTTTTGCGACGGGCTGATCCCCCGTTCAAGGAGCCCTACCGACTGTATATAGATTAAGAAACTGAAAAACCAGCCAAGGCCCACAAGGGCTGTACAGCCATAGATAGATAGATAGGTCATGTTTAGGCTAGTCACTTCGCTTTGAAAATAAGTAAAGGAAGGATCTGCGAAGCCTCGGAAAAATGCAGTTGTCGACTTTTTGGACATTAACCGTCGTCCTGTTTTTATCTGAAACAACGTTTCGTTGACTGGACTCTGCCTCCGTCAAGATATTAAATGCCTACTCGGTTGAGGACAGAGCCAGTGTTAAGTCTTCGAAACCTTATTTTCAATAAAAATAATATGATACATGTTCAGAAAATCACTAATTTTGTTTACATGCCATCGTCACATTTTTAGTCGGCAATGTAGCCTATATTTTCACGGCGTCATCCCCCAGAAATAGGATCCACATTAATATTAATACAATCCTCCGATCACTTTTATGATCTTCCAAGTGACCATATTTCAGTAGATTTTGCTACCAATATTGTGTCTGTATTGATTACACATTTATCCATTTTAGTCGCCTTAATTTCGTCAAGCTTAACAGTAATGTTGGATGTTTAGTTTGTGTGTGTGCGTTTTTCTGTGTTTGTGTACAGGTAGAAGCCTTGCGACTAGCTGATCACCCGCCCAGGGAGTCCTACCATATGTGTAAGATCTAAGAAAACCGAAGTGAACGGAGAAGTTCATGGAGGTAGGCCTAGGCCCACTGGGGCTGTAGTGCCAAGGGGAGGGGGGAACAGTGATGTTACACGAACCCCATGTATGCAACAAAATATTTTTATTTAATGTTACAATACACAGCACGTTTCATGCTGCACGCCCCATTATATTATAAAACTGGTGTGCAAACCGTTACAGTGTATCAGACAAGTGGGTCAATTCATAATAGCGTTAAAATATTGATTATGGCACTTACCCGATGATTTTTGTTCGATGAACGTTAGTATTGGAGCATTCCATATTGGCCCTTGAAGAAACCCCACCAAAGAATCGAAGACCCAAGAGCCTTCTTCCGATGCCATTGTTGGATGGCACACGACAAACCTACGTCTTTTATTGTCGCTACAAACATGCACCTCACTAGCACAGTCTACTGAATTCCCCAATGGTTGCTATGACAACGAAGTTCAAAACATTGCCACAGGCTAGGTGCCGATAGGTCTGACAGCCATTCTGTTATAGTGACTTCTTTCTTGGAAGTACGGTTAAATCGAATGCTGCATGAAAGCCAGGCATATATAACTTGAATATTTATTCAGATAGAGCGATTTAGTTTTATAAATTCATTTTAAAATAGATGTGCAAAATAATACACTGAGGTAAAGGTAAATCTGCCGGTCACGGTAGCCGAGCGGTCTAAGGCATGTACTGGGTTCGAATCCCACTCAGGGCATGGATGTTTAGTTTGTGTGTGTGCGTTTTTCTGTGTTTGTGTACAGGTAGAGGCCTTGCGACGAGCTGATCACCCGCCCAAGGAGTCATACCGAATGTGTAAGATCTAGAAAAACCGAAGTGAACGGAAGAGTTCATGAAGGTAGGACTAGGCCCATTGGGGCTGTAGTGCCAGGGGAAAAAAAATGTAAATCTGCCGGTCACGGTAGCCGAGCGGTCAAAGGCATGTACTGTCTTCACTCGCTTGGAAACCGGGATCGTGGGTTCGAATCCCACTAAGGGCATGGATGTTTAGTTTGTGTGTGAGTGTGTGTGCGTGCGTTTTTCTGTGTTTGTGTACAGGTAGAGGCCTTGCGACGAGCTGGTCACCCGCCCAAGGAGTCCTACCAAATGTGTAAGATCAAGAAAAGCCGAAGTGAACGGAGAAGTTCATGGAGGTAGGCCTAGACCCACCGGGGCTGTAGGGCCAAAAAAAAAAAAAAAGAGGTAAATCTATCCCTGTAAAAGACTGTGGAGGCCCATAAGGTTGGGAGAAGTCGAGGCTCCCACATTTTCTAGACAATCGGCACACAGATGGCGGTGAGGTGGTCAGCCTTACCTTTACCTCCAACGAAGATAGCTGGTACTCATTTCTATTATAGGCTGAGTCGACCCCAGGGCCATAGTGTGGCTGGATGGATTAGGTCAATCGAAAAATTCAGTGACTTCTTCGAAAATCTAACCTGCGACCTTTCGGCTTTTGCCATAGGGCCTCAACCCACTATGCTATCTCGTGCCCCAAAAATAATGCACAAAGAAGATGCAAATTCATAATCTAACCCACTAAAGCAGTAATCTGTGTAATATAACCATGATTGATCCATAATTCCACCGTGTTCTTCCCTAGAAATCATAAAACAATCAGACTCTTTACATCTCTTTACTTCACTCAACTCAGCTAAGTAACTCAAAGTTAAAGTCAAGGTCACATTGCGACTGACGGTCAGTCAGTCTTAGAGTCGAGCCCAATCTGAAGCTTATGACCAGATATTTACTACTGTTTGACAGTTTCGTTCTTATTTTTGTGGGGCGCACTCTCTGACGAGCGGACGGGTCTGTCTTTTGTCGAGTCATTGTCTGTAGCAGTAAGTCATTTGTCATAATTAGGGACCGAGTTTTTATGACCTAATAATAATAATAATAAGCCAAAAGCATGATATCATCGACCGGTCCTCAATGTGTTAATATTGAAGATGCAATTCAATATACGGGTTTCATATCTACCACGTACTGACTATGAGCATTTTCATATTTCATACAGAATCATCTGTTATTCAGTCCATAAAGTTGAATTATTCTGGTGCTTCCAGTCGAAGGTTTTGGCGCTAAGTTACAAGTGTAGTCTACACAACATGGTTACTATAGAGCAACCACGGATCATAACTGCACATTGAGTCTTGGGTTGTGTTACCTATTCCCAGCTGTGTTAATATAGGAATTGAAAATAATTGAATGAATAAGTATTCGATTGCTCATCAGAGTTACCAATGTAATCATACAGCAAACCGTTGTGGTGATGAATAATGATGCCAGTTTGTTTATGTTATTATGAAAAGTCAGCAAAAATGTTATTGCTTTCCGTTTCACTTACTCTAAATATAAAGATGTAAAAGAAAGATTGCCTTCCAGAAATTTATCATGGATTGGCTAAACAAACAAAATAAACGGGCAAAAGGAATTAAAATATCGTTTTGTCAGTAAATGATGAGCGGTGCATAGCTGTAACATACGTAACATAGTTTGCATCGGTTGCACTGGTACCGATCCGTGATAGGTCAATAATTACATCTGAGCTGATTGGCCCACGAATTATGTAACATATATAACATGAAAGTCGACAGGTTCGGATAGGCGGAAGCTGTAGTAACCGGTAGTGACCATAGTCTGTGGTAGTCATGGTCGTCGTGATCGGTCGTGATGTCGTGATCGTCGTGATAGAGATCTTTGGTAGTGACGGTAGTGACCGCGACTGTAGAACGCTGTAGAGACCAGAAGACGTGGTGGAGATTGCAGAGCTGTTGAGAGAATTTGGCGCGTTTGGACTATGTTTTCGGCGTAATAGTATTGGTAACTTCGCTGTTAACAGCCCCTGTTTTAATGTGTGAAAATAGCAACCGCGTTACCAAATTGACAAGCACGCACAGAAGTGTTGACGGAAAGAAACTGTGGTTAGACATAATCAGTCATGATTCCTCGAATTTGTGCTTTGAATTTACAGTAAAAAATGTGTCGGTATTCTTCACTGGGAAAAAATTTGTTTTCAGTGTCTTTGTAATAGTTTCGCTTTTAGCAGCATTAGACATTCATAACCCGAATTTGTATGTTGTAGTTGTCCTTATATTTGTAATTGGACGTCTGATCGCCGAACTCCTGTGGAGTGTGAACAGTGGTCAGTTAAGTTTAATATCTTAAATACCTGGCAGATAAGGAGTCTTTTTATTGTAATATTCCATGTCTTTACATTGATCAGAGTTGGATTGGATTGTAATATGTCTCATCACTTGGAGGAAGGGAGGAGGGTGGAAACTATCGTGCCCCCCCCCCCAGTTTTAGTGTGACATCACAAGACAGTTTTATAGCTAAGGCTATGTATTGTACAGTGATTGCCACGTTATATGAATTTGTTGAAGTAAAACTATCCTAGCCTAATCTGTATGGGGTCAAGGAACTGTGGTGGGTTATGGCGGAATAATGGAGGACCTGTAATTTGACTTGACCTAGTGTTGGAGGTTATGGTGTATAAATGTCAGGCAAACAAAAGACAGGTTTAAATTCAGTGACAAATCAGGTAAACTTAGATAGTTTGGAAAATCAGTATAGCTAGATTATAGTCTGGTATATTCCCAAAACCGAATAGTTTGAAACAGGGAGTTGTCGTGTCATCCTTTTTTTGAACTTAGATTTACAACATGCCATGAAGATGGTCCAAGGAAACTAGGAGGAACTGGAATTGAATGGGAGACACCAGCATCTGGTATACCTTGATAATGATAATTTATTGAGGAAAAATACAAATGCAGCATGGTCACATTTCATGTGAGGCATGCATTCATGAAGACCTCGCATAATTCAAGACAAATTATTCTGTAGGAATAAATTTATTGCCGAATTTCTATGGGGGATTCACATTATTTTAAATTTTTGGTATTAAATGAGACTTTATCAATATTTTTATATCGCACTATTTGAAATTTGCATAAAATGTGACTACATTGTACCATAAAATTACAGAGGCTCGGCATTAAGGAGGTCAGTCTCTAAGTGAATGCATATTAAACTAAGTATATGTTGATTTGTTGTCCCTAGGACAAACTCATGCATAAAGATAGCTAATAGATTCTTTGAAAATGTTGCAGCATTCAGATATTTGTGATGACACAAACAAATCAAAATTTCTTTCATGAAGAGATGAAAAGCATTAAATTTGGAGACTGCTTGCTACCATTCAGTTCAGAACCTTTTGTCTTATCTGCAATCTAAAACTGTAAAGCTTGATATATATATATATATAGGATGTCCCAGGAGTTTGGCGCCATACTTGAGCGTATTGAGGGTTCCCTATAGAACCACTTGGAAATAGGAACCCATGTCCACAAATGTAAAATAGCAGCGCTAGGGCGGCATTTAAAATCATTTCGTTTAAACTTGGCGCCTCAATGTCAAACTGCATTGCATAGAGGAACAACCCTCCACCAGCACTCGTGTCATTGCCAAGATTGTGGGGACATCAAAATCATGTGTTTGGTGGATCCTGCATCACCAGCAACTTTATCCATATCATCCAACATGAGTACACGACTTAGGTCCAGCTGACTTCGTACCACGAGTTCAGTTTTCTCAGTGGATACTGAACCAGTGTTTACATCAGCCCAACTTCCTGAATCACGTGTTCTTCACAGACGAAGCGCAGTTTACAAAGGATGGCTGGTTCAGCTGTCGAAACAGCCATGTTTGGGCTGACGAAAACCCCACTGTTATTGTAGTTGGTTACCACCAAGTGCAATTTTCTGTCAATGTCTGGGCAGGCATCATCAGCGATCACTTGATTGGGCCTTTCCTCCTACTACCACGACTCAGTGGACCCTTTTACAAGGTGTTCCTGGAACGTATCCTTCCGACTTAACTGGATGCTGCTTTTCATGGTCATTGGATAGGAAGAGGAGGCCCAGTGCCTTGAAGACCCCAGTCCCCAGACTTGACACCTCTGGACTATTTTGTGTGGGGCCACGTGAAGAGCCTGATCTACGACACGCCTATGGATAATGAATTCAAGTTGTTGGCCAGGATACTTGTTGCATGTGACATAATCTGTGAGACACCTGGAATATTTGAAAGGGTGGGCCAAAATTTCTTTTGTCAATGTAATGCATGCATTGAAAATGGAGGGCGCCAATTCTAACATCTACTCTAGCAGGTGAGTCTTAAGAGTTTGGAGGGGTTAATATGCCTGTGCATGCTGTTTGGCATTGAGGCGCCAAGTTTAAACAAAATGATTTTAAATGCTGCCCTAGCTCTGCTATTTTACGTTTGCGGACATGGGTTCCTATTTCAAAGTTGTTCTACAGGGAACCCTCAGTACGCTCCTGAAGTATGGCACCAAACACCTTGGACACTGTGTGTGTGTGTGTGTGTATATATATATATATATATATACACACACACACACACACAGAAGTATAATTTTGGTTGGAACTTTGTATGTGTGTGAAATTACATCTGTTAAGTATGGGTAACTGTTAGCTTTTCTGGGAGGGTCCTGCACCATGGAGTTACTTAGAAATAAGTAATGTGGGATGTAATTGTTTCTTGTAGGTAATCTCATTATTTTGCTGAGATATGTTTGGAGATTCTAGAGAGCTACCAATGGCTTTTGTTTTGTGATTAGATATATATCTCTTGACATTTTGGCCACCTGCTTATTGCCCAGTTTTAAGCAGTTGTATCTCCATTCTAAATGGGGAAGTAGATGTACTTTTATCATCAAATGTGAATTCTCTGTGTTCCTCATTTTGCTAATCATGATCTTAATTTAGAGATGCAGAGCTATATTTGTGTTTGTTCTAGAGTCTGTACTCCTTGTAGCTCCAGTAGGACTCCAGCTTACAGCCACATATCAATTTGGACGTCAGACATCACAGTTTATACCTTGGCATTTCATCACAGATGTCATTATCAATGAAGCTATAACTCTGGTAAGAGAGATTTTAATGGTTTACAGGGCTGTATTTTTATACAAAATTGTTTGTAATTAAAATTTAGATTTTTTTCCACATTTCTGCCATTTCAGTTCAGGGCTGCATTGATGAAATAACTAGGAAATGTAAAAAAAAAACATATGAAGGAATTTCATCATTTAGAATGTTAATGGGTGGTTAAATCGAGATTATAATGATACTTTTGAGATGTTTATATTCAAATGTTGATCTGTACTCTGATGTGTTTTGCAGCACAGAGTGGTGTATTATCTTGCGGTTTTATTGGAGCAACCATATCATGAAACCACCAGAAAGAAACTGATTCCACTCTTTCAGGTAATAATTATTTACAGCATATTTTAAGTGGAGGCATGTGGTAGCGTAATTGGTTGAGGCACTGTGCTATAAGTCGGAAGGTTGCAGATCTGATTCTCGATGAAGTCATTGGATGAAGAAAGCAGTCTTCTGGGATTTGGCACCGTGCATGTGTGGTGTTAACCAGCGTTTCAGAGGAACGTATCGCCTACATCTTCAGGGTAGAAGGAAGAATATAAGAAATCCGCAAGTGTTCACGGTCTCTTCGCTTGCAGATTTCTTATATTTTTCCTTCCACCCTGAAGATGGAGGCGATACGTTCCTCCGAAACGTCAGTTAACACCACATACAGGGTGTCCCAGGAGGAATGGACCAAACTTCGGGAGGGTGTTCCTTATGTTAAAGTATGCCGATATAACCCAAAACACCTATGTCCAAAGTTGAACGGTTACAGAGATAATGGCCAGAGAAGTGTGAAACTTTGACCGGCGTTGCACACTTGTTGATTACAAAATACATATTAAAACTGGAAGGAATATGTGGATTCTGTAATGTTAATAATGTACGTAACATAAAACTAACTTGTGAGTGACATGAAGCCATAAAATTGAAGTACAAAATACTCGCTCGCCATGTCATAATTGTCCTTAGGGTTTCCAAGCACTATACATGACACATGAATGGCAAGCGCTGACGTAACTTGGCTGACTGCGCGTTCTGATAAAGCCAACCACATAAGTACGGCTAGGGTGAATCACGGCACTCAAGGACAAACATAGATAAGGCCTCTCAGCTGATAGGTATAGTCCGTAGACCCGCTAGAAGACCACACTTTTCTCGGGCCATTATCTCCATAACCGTTCAACTTTGGACATAGGTGTTTTGGGTTATATCGGCATACTTTAACATAAGGAACACCCTCCCGAAGTTTGGTCCATTCCTCCTGGGACACCCTGTATACACGGTGCCAAATCCCGGAAGACTGCTTTCTTCATAGTCACCGCCGTGAAAGCCTCAAATCTTACAAGTCATTGTATCTTTATGGTGGGCATCCTGTTGTATGTCATTTATAAAAAGATGTAATTTGGGACAGTTGCACAACAAGTAATCAAAAAGAAACAAAATAGACACTACTGTGTGAACGTTTGTTTTTATTCATTGTTGGTGGTATCACTACATATTTTGACCCTTTCAGGTGTACACGAATACTGTTTTAACTTCTGAATTGCATCATTAATCAATATGAATTCATATTGTGTCTGTATGATTATTCTATACAGACAGTTAAATCTTAATTTTAAAATGTGATTCAAATACAGTTAAAACTAGACATTAAACTTGGTGTTAAATAGATAAAAATTAAAATTCTACTTGAAGTGGCTATTAAGGTGTGGGATTGTCGTCAATACTTCAATAGACAAACCACACAAAACTGTACGATTGAATCGTTTAAAGTCAATATAGAGCACACAGAATACACGTATAATATTCAAGCATTGGCTGGCCTGTCTGGGCGGTGATGCAATGCTGAGCGTGCCGGTAGGATCGACTGGCTCAGTCGGTTGCTGGGTTGTGGAAGATGCGCTCGCTGAAGGCTCGCGGCAGCTATGTCAGTTGCCCTGTAGCAGAAGTGGAGTTGATGTCTCTAACTGCGTTGCCGTTTCGAGTTGAACTGCTTGCACCTTGGGCTCCCGGTCTTAAATACTACCGGCCGGGAGGCGGAGCTAAAGTTGCAGTTGTCATGGCGCACATCCATTGGGCCGTACACGGAAAGGCGGAGTCACGGCGAAGTTTATAAATATATGTAGCTGGTATATAAGTCGCAGTAGTTGGAAATGGTATAAATTCCGTGTCTGTTTGGTCACAGCTGCCAGTTTGGCACTTTCTGAAAGGGGCGACGGTTGTCTGCCAGACGCTGTGGGGATGCTCCCACAAAGGTATTTATAGCCAATATGATAAATTTCATTTAAGCCTTGTGCCTGCTACATATCGTGTGTATGTTTGTTATTCCTCTGTGGTACTGATGTGATGTGGGGTAATTGCTTGCTGGGTTCTTTCTTCATAATATAGGTTGTGTTGGTTTCTGACCTTTCTGGAAAATGAGTATGTTCTGCATTATACATATTTATGATTGATATTATATAGGGTGTCACATATTCTTATCTAGAGTGGTTACCTATTAAATGTGTGAAGGCTGAATACTTTGTTTGGGGTATACCACTTGTGTTGTTTATATGTGGACTGAAGTGTAACAATTTAAATTATAATGTAGAACTTGTGTGTGAGAATTTGATTTGTTTCATTCTGGTCCATCACACTAACAGTATTATAAATGTTAAAACAATTCTGTCCAGTGTGACTGTTGAAGCTTTTACTACTTCACTTCTTAGCACCCTCACATGTTTCGGTCCCTATAGACCATCATCAGAGGGAACGTCAATACTTTTAGAAACTACTATTACATTGGGTGTTTTGATTTTTAAAATACATAAATATACAATATTTGTAATATACACTTTATATAAAATTCAAATTTCTTACAACTACAGCAATTGTCCTTGATGCATTAAAGTTTTTAAAAAAGACTTTTAAAAAAACTTTAATGCATCAAGGACTTTTGAAAGAGTCAGTGGCTTTTACTTTTTAAATAATTGGAGAATCATTTTCTGTTTCCAAATTCTTACCATGAAAACAGTTTCATGGGACAAATTATATTTGTAAATTGAGAGATGCATGTATTTTGTATGAAGAGTATGGTAAAAAGGTAAAAGGTAAAGCTATCTCTGTAACAGGCTGTGCAGTCCTCTAGGGTTGTGAGATGTCGAAGCTCCCACATTTTCTAGACAGACGACTCACAGTTGGCAGTAAGATTGTCAGCCTTATGCACCAGCCGCCCTTTACCTACCAGGAAGATTCCTGGTACTCATTTCTGTTAGAGGCTGAGTCAGCACCAGGGCCATAGTGCGGCTCAAAGGATTAGGCCAATTGAAAAATCCAGTGACCTCGTTGGGATTCAAAGCTGCTACCTTCCAGCTTCTAGCATAGTGCCTCAACCAACTATGCTGTCACATGCCCCCTGTCAAGAGTATGTTCTTCTGGGTTGTAATGCTGCAGTAGTGATATTTTGGAGGCTCATACTGCATCTATCTTCAGGGCTTGAGTTACTCTTTCAGCCAGAAGAGGTAGGCTATTCCTCTGAAACATGAAGATGTCTTGTAACTACGTAGTATTACAGCTCAGAAGATACTACACCTCACAGTTACTGCCTTGAGAACATCAAATTCACTGTTTTATATCTCTTGTATATTGTGTTATGGTAAATAGGCTGGTTTACTAGGACCACAGTTGCATGGGTTGGTGCAGTTTCTCTTGTGGAGAAATATCTAGTGAGTAGAATTTTTATCTGACTGGTGAACTGAGGAACATTTGTTGACTGCTGCTAATGAGGTATGCAAATTTCAAGAAACACTTTTGGGAAATATGTGTACTCCAAAGCAGAGTATAAGTTTTCACTGCTATACTGTCATGTACAGCATACCACACTTCTGCTGCTGGTGCAACCATAGCTGCTCACAGCCCAGTGCCATAATACAACTCCCTTCAGATGACCTGTGCCAAAGCCTAAAAAGCAAAGAGCTTCACCTCTGTGGCCTGGTACCCCTGAATGGTATGTTGTTTAAGCATAGGTGAAACTTTGTTAACAAGAATGCCATCATGTGGAATGTGATGCCATGTAGCAGGCTAGAAATTTGGCGACATTTCAGAGGAGTGTCTTTGAACTTCTGCCAGACTACATCACATCCCAGAAGAAAGTATGGGTATCCCTCATTTTAAGAACACTCAGTATACATATTTTCATTAACACAAATTGTGTTAATTTGTACCTGTTTTTCACTTAAACATTAGAGACATGTTTTCCTTTGTAATATTTGTGCACCACATTTATCATAATTGTTGCGCAACTATTTGACTTCTAGCATGCACCTTACAGCCTTTGTAATTGCAGACCTGCCACTAAATTAATATTGTTTATCGCTATTACTACTGTGCCAGCATGCAGTCTGTATTTGTTTCATGGAAGACTTGATTGAGAGTCTTTGCTCGCATGGTAATGAAGCAGCGTCATTGCATTGCAGAAGCTGTGACTTCCAAAATATAATTTTTTATTTATGAATTTTCACCCTGTGAACAGTTTTCGTGGAACAAATTACCTTTATAAATTGAGAGATACCTGTGTTCATCTTAGGCACCACCATAAGAACATTAAATCCCGTGAGATCTCTATTTCCTGTGGCGTATGCCAGGTTTGTGCGCAGTACATGAAGCATTATGGTGAGCTGCAGTAGTGCAGTTGGTATAGCAACTGCCTACAGGCTGGACGACTGAGGGGTCAGAGTTTGAGTCCTGGTAGGGTCAGAATTTTCTCTTCTCCGTATCATCCAGACTGGCTCTGGGGCCCACCCAGCCTCCTATCCAATGGGTACTGGGGTCCCTTTTCCCGGAGGTGAAGTGGCAAGGGCATGAAACTGGCCACTCACTTCCAGTTAGTGCCGAGGTCAAGAAAATGTGGTTCTATACATCCACTTCCCCATATGCCTTCATGGTGTAGTGCTTCATTAGTTAAGCACAGCAACTTTACCTTTTACACTAAGTATTATAGGTATGAAAAGACTTGTGTAGTGAATATTTCTTTGTAGCATACAAGACCCCGCCTAGCATGCCTGGAGATGATCTATCAGAGAATTCAGAGAGGTGCTGCTTTCCCAGAAGTCAGTAGTCAGTAGAGCCAAGAGAGAAGTTGTGGGCACAGTCAGGATGCTGATTGAACCTGGATCTTACTGGCTGTGCCATCAGAATCAGGTTTACAAGTTTTGCTTCCAGCTGTGCTCCCATAGGTGAGTTTCATGCATATCCAAAAATATGTATTGTAACGTATATTGATCCTTGTACAGCCACTATTGGAGGAACTCTAAAGTAAGGTAGTTTGTTAGGGGTTCATGCAACACTAATTTTCAACAGCTTGTCTCATATACAGTATGGCCTAGTATAAAACAGTGCTAAAGTTGGCATCACCCAAGTGCACATGTGTAGGTTATATGTTAGTTTGCTTAAATCTGTTGCAGAGCTGTTTGGGTAATAATATGAAATATGTTTGCCATGAAAAACTGTCTAGTGATACTTCTTTTCTTCATCTGGAAAAAGCATGCTGCATTGGGCTTTTCCAGTGTATTTCACTGCTGGAAGAACCAAATTTCCTTATCGATCCCAATGTCCAGACCTCACCCCACCACATGCCTGCATTGAAGCTTGGAAAGGGGACATTTTTCATAATCACACACTGACAAAATGTACAGCATCTATAGGAAAACATCACATGTACATTGTACAGGATAACATGACACTACTTGAAGGGGTGTTTGAAAACCAGCAGCTTGAAATGGTGCCTTCAATGTAATGGCTGTTACTTCGAGCATGTTGGTTCATGAGATTTTATAGCAAACATTTATTTCTTGAGGTGAGGAATTTAGGATTGCTTTATATGTATTTTGGGCTATTTCATGGTGGTGCACAGGTATCACTGTTACTGAAGAAGGTTTAAATAGTGTCAGTACTTTAGAGATCTGTGTGGCCATGAATGATGAGAGTCTATTCATGTTTTTACAGAAAGTATATCAACGATGCTGAAATATGATCTGAAACTACATAGATCTCTAAATCAATTTATTACCGAATGAAAAGTTAAATTTATGAAATACATATTGAGTTAGCATGACATACATTGTGTTCAAAGGAAAGCAAATATTTCTTATGTTCAGTAATAGAGAAATACAGTATCTAATGTACAGAGATATTGGGTTTTCAGACTTTATCCGTCATCCTGGTTTTTAAGCTAACTAAGAAAAAGATGACGTTTCAGAACTGGATCTGTTTCCGTCCTCAGGTGAGGGAAAACACCTATTCTGTTGGGTCCCTTAGAAAGAGCTAGCCTCAATCACTGGATGGAAACAGATCCAGTTTCTGAAACGCCGTGTTTTTCTTAGTTATCTTAAAAACCAGGACGATGGATAAAGTCCGAAAACCCAATATCTCTGTGTATTATACACCATCGTCAGAATCCAATAGTAACTACTAGTATCTCATGTCTTCAGAAATATGGCTTGGGATAGCAAAGAAATGTAGTCTCATCCAGTGTTATGTGCAAGTTGTTTTCATTTTTTTGTCACTGAACCTTCCATGGAGCAAATGGTTGATGAAAGTAATTAAGAACTGAAGTTTAAATGTAAAGTAGCAGATTTTGTATATTCACTATCATTTGTTTCAAATAACTGCTGTTAAAATTTGTAATATTTGTAAATATAGGGCTTTATATTTTCAGAGATATGCTTTTGAATGGCAAAGAAATGCTATCTCTTCCTCTGTTATGTGCAGGTTGGCTGCACTGTTGGTTACTGAACTCTGGAAGCAGCATGTGGATAATGTAAACTTGTAAAGAATTAAAATCTAAATGTAGAATAATAAGCTTTGATATATTCACTTCCATTGGCTTCATATAACTGGTGTTACATATATTAGTAATATGCATTGTTACATTGTATGTGATTATTTAATGTTATTTGTATTTGTTTGTTTGTTACAAAAATGTAATTGTATGAAAGATTTATGTATCTGCTCCATTTCTTCATTGTCAGCTTTTGATTTTGATATGTATGTATTATGTGACAGTACCAATATTGCCATGTGAAATTTCTTAATGTAACAGTGATGTATTTTAGTACCAATTTTTAAATTAGGTTTGTTTGCACTACATGTATTTTGTGATTACTGTTTCTTTTTCAATCAAGATTTTTAACATTATTGAAGAAGGTGCATGAAAATCACATAATTGTGGAACATGGGTATGCTTAACCAGCAAGACAAATACCAAAAGCATTTTGTACTTTACTTTATGAATAACTGTTGGTTGGCTTTGAATTATATTTAGTGGTAAATGCAGTATCCTGTCTGGATTACAGGAAGCACTTTGGAAACTCTAATTACTGGGACTTTGTACCAAATTCTTCACCAAGGAACTTCACAGTTTGTCACTGATCACTGCTCCCTGTAGTGCAATGTAGTTGTTTCTTCTTTCTTTGCTTCATGCACAAGAGGCAAGACCATGCTTTCTTCTTCATTTATTTGTTATGTTGTTATTCTTGAAATTAATTAAAATAAAAGGTGGCGAATTTCCACTTGATTTGCCATTAGTTTCGTCCCTGGTAACAGCAGATGGTGTCTTTTATTTCAAAAGCTTGTCATGACTGGCATGAAAATATAAACAACAAATTTTGATCTTAATTAATATTACAAAGACGGTAGCTCAGTTGGTATAGTGGCAAGCTATGGGCTGGACAGCTGGGCTTCGATTCCCAGCAGGGACAGGAAATTTTGCTCCACTCCACAGCATCCAGACTGGCTGTGGGGCTCACCCAGCCTACTATCAAATGGATACTGGGGGTAAAGCGACCAGGACATGAGGCTGACTACTCATCTCCATATAGTTTCTAGGTCAGCAATGGTGGTACTGTACTTCCACTCCTCTATACATCTTGGTGACATGGTTATTTAATTAAGTGCAGGGACAACTTTATGATTTAACCATTGTGTCATTAATATGTGAAAAGCGTAAGGATCGATATTTTAACTTGAATGTATGAGGGTTAGGCCTCCTCGGCCCTTGCACCACGACCTACAATGGTCTATTGTGCTTATATTTTAATTTACTCTTCTTTTACTTTGCTGATATGCTAGCATCTCAGTAGTTAATAGTGACCACCATGTTGGCATTGTTAATGTCAGGAGTAATAATTGGATACCCTCCAATGGTGTTATTGTATAGAGGTTTCATGGACGTTAGCAAATTGGTTTATAATTTTTTAAAAGGGAATGAACACTCACAGGCATGATTATGATACCATAAGCTTATTTTTTTATAAAATATTTAGGTTTTTGCAGAATCTTTGCTATTTTTCAGTTTAAGTTTAAGGAGAGAGACCTGGACGCAGGAGCTGTTGGAGGTTGTGAAGGTCATTGTGGATTCATCGAGTTCAGTTCCACGAAGGATGATCACAAGATGTCTCAGAGTGAATATTAGTATCCTTTATAAGTATTTGCTACATTACATGACAACTCAAGGATTGATCTTCCATGGGTCTTCACATAAGTTGTCCAGAAATTATAAGGGAAACGCCATTATGCTTTGGTGAAGATTTGACCCAGATCTAAAGGAGTATGTAGAAAATGTTGCTAATGATCCTAACAAATTGAATGTACATTATATAAGTAATAACACCCAAAATGAATGGATTTCAGTAATGATGGGGGCAGGATTGTACTTGTATACTTCATTGAAAGTGAAGTATTTTGTTATAGTTCTAATCTGGACTGAAGCTGAGTTCAGTATATGTTCTTGGTGATAAAGATTCATTACAGAAGAACAGGAACCCAATGGCAAATGGGTCTTGAGAATATTTCCCGTGTTTTCTCTTAGGATTGGATTTAAGTGGAGTGGGTTTGTTAGAATTAACCTTTAAAGTATGGACTTTTAAATTGTCGAGAGCCTGCAACGGCCGGAATTTAAGTGGTCCTAAGTCTTTAAAGTTGCAGACTCAGAAAAATCTTCAAATTTTCCGTTCTATGTAATATAGAAATATGAACTAAATCAGCCTGAAAAACAATAAAATATTCTAGATATACACAAAAGAGCAATTTTTACAAATGAAAATATGCTGTGATTATTTTGTCATTAAATGCAAAATATCATCTTTACTATATATATTATGAAATTCAAAAGGACTTACCCATAGTTTTTTCTCAAAACTTGAAACATGTTGATTTTATAAAAAATAATCACTATATACAATAATCCTTTGTTCAGACTGTATGTAAGTATAAACTGCGTCAATTCACGGTTTATGATAACTCCATTCTGTGCTCACATTCTGACGTGCTTGTAACACTGGTTGAAGCAGTCCTTGACACACAGATCAACATCACACTTTTTACATTAGAAGAGGGTGCTCCTGGTTTTCTTATTTAGCGAACACACATGATGTTTTTGTTTCCCTTTGGATGGCCAGTGTTGGGAATATTTCATCTCTAGTCGACTCACTTGGGCCCCAGCTGAAATTAGCCTCCCCCGAGAAACGCCACTGACTGTGATATTCACCTCATGCGACTGTACAATCAAATCTTGCACTAGGATTTTACGGAATTTTTTATGTGTCATTTTTCCACCACATGACTTGTGCAATAAATAGGCATTGAGAACAGTCATGTCTAGAAGGTGGAAAAACAATTTCTTTGTCACTTTCTACTTGACATTACAATTAACTCTTTAAAAGAATGATTTAAAAGTATGAGGGTAAGTAAATAAGTTAGTTACAAATGGATATATAACTTAAACAAATAAGAGTACTGATTTGAAAAATGCTTTTATTTCTCAACATAATCTTCCTGTACACTGAGGCACTTGTCTCATCGTTTCACAAGCCCGTGAAACCCAGCAGCATAAAATTGTGTGGGCTGCTGTCAGAACCAGGCAGTGACTTCCCTTTTTACAGCTTCATCATCAGGAAAATGTTCAGCTGAAAGATGATGTTTAAAGAGGGCTGAACAAATGGAAGTCGCTTGGAGCAAGGGCGGGGCTATACGGAGGATGCTTGAGGACTTCCCACTTGAAATTTCATAGCGTCTCATTTGTCTTGTTGGCAGTATGGGGACACGTGTTGTCTTGCAAGAGCCTTTGGTGAGGGGTCCTGGTCGCTTCCATTGAACGGCCTTACGAAGTTTCCTGAGGGTGTTACAGTAGGAGTTGGCATTTACGGTTTGTCCTTGAGGCTGGAATGCGGTGGACAGTATGCCTTCATGATCCCAGAAGACTGTGAGCATCACTTTCCTGGAGGATGGTGTCACCTTAAACATTTTTTTGGCAGGCAATGCAGATCTTTCCACTGCATTAACACACGCTTTGTCTTGGGCTAGTAATGGAGAACCCAAGACATCACGTGTGACAGTTCGGCCTAGCATATCGTGTCCATCGTGGTCGCGATTGAGATGCTGTAATGCCAGACCCATTCTTTGCATTTTGTGTTGTGGGGTCAGCATGCGCGGCACCCATCATACACAGACTTTGTGAAAACCTAACCTGTCATGCATTATGAGGTAGGCCATGCCATGTGAACAACCAGTAGCAGTGGCTGTAGTGTCTATAGTTACCCTTCTGTCAGCCCGTTGCACATTCGCCTCTGTGGCAATCTCCATTGGCTGGCTGACGTGTTCGTCTTTGATACATGTCCACCCTTCAGAGAACTTCTGCACGCAGTTGTAAACAGCTTGACGTGACAGGCACTTCTCACCGTAGATGGGAAGCATTTCTTTATGAATATTCCTTGATCCCATACCTTTTGCTGACAAAAATCGCACAACAGAGCACTGCTCGAGGGTTGTACACTCACTCAGAGGCGCCACCATCTTGCAACTGCTGTTTCGCTTTTGTAAACATCGTCTTGTGTTGAATGTCATCAGTTGCCACTGAACTAATGCTGCCAGCTAGTGGCGATAGCCTCAAGTGCCTCATTCAAACATGTAATACCCCACATCAATTTGTAACTTACATGTTGACTCACCTATGTATCATTGAGGTTAGTGACATTTTCAAGTTCTTGTGCAAATTTCCTGATATTAAAAATATGGATTCCAAAGCTGTGAAAAAGATGCAGTGATCTTCACACAGCTTAAAGGATGGAAATGACATTGACATACTTGAATGTATAGAAATAGTCAAACTGGTTGTGTTATTGACCCCCTGTGATATGACTTCAATAAATATAGTGAGCTACATTTACAGTAGATATTTAGTCAGTATATTTGCACATGTGACCACTAGTCTTAGAATCCAGTTGGCAGTGGTCAGCAAAGAGCATAGTTTTTGAAAGCTAATGCTTAGCAGAAGTTGCTAATGTACAAGGATAGAAAATCACCAAGGTAAATAACAATCCTCCATGCAGAAGTCACCATTGTCATTGAAAGCCAGGATGGTGCATCAAGATCACTTGAAAGTGAATGTGGCATAGTACCATGAGTTTATTCCTGAGGATGCTACAGTCAGCAAAGAGAAGTACAAAGAGGTGATCACTATTTGTAGACAGCAGTGTGCCTGAAACTTTTCAAATGTGGAGTACTGAAGCTTGGGTGCTCCTGCTTGACAGTGCCTCAGCACAGTGAACAGTGCTTCTATGGCAGCAACTCACCAAGCATGCAGCTCTGGTGCTTCCCCAGCCACTGTACTTTTCTCATCTTGTTGCTTTCGTTTTTACCTCTTTCTGCATTTGAAAGATTGGAAGGACTGTTACTTCAAAGATGTAGGAGCAGGTTCGAGTGGCTTGAAATTTGTGTCATGGGAAGTCATTGATAGCGGCTTCTTAGAAAGTTGCAAGCAGCCATATGAATGCTGGGAGTAGTGTATAACTGCATAATGCCCCTGGATTCAAGATATTGCTTCTCAGCATTTTGTTGCTATTGCATACACATACATTGTTATAAGGAAATGACCCTGGAGCTAAACATTTTTGTATTAATGTAGGTATCTGTTCAATGTGGGTACTTCTGTACAAAAGCATTGCACAGTTCTGTATAGAAGAACAGTTAATAGCATTATATATAAACTAAGATAAACAAGGTTGTTACTGTAAAAAAAATAATTGGAAGGCTGAGTGGTTACTGAAGTGTAGAAACAACATGGATCATTTAAGGCAACAATAATTCATGAACTGCAACCATGTGGTCTCACGAATGAAGTGAATTTTTTTAATTGTATGCTTAAGTGTGTCATGATTACACTCGCTGATTCTCTTTCTGTAACAAGGCTTGGTTTTATTGACATTGCAAAGAAAATTCACAGAACGGCAGGTGATGGAGCTCACTCATGCCTAGTCTAGTGTGTCTGATGTGAATACAGTTATAATAACTGGACTGATTTTCAGACACTTGATTTTGAAAGGCAACTTGGAACAGATACTGTCTCCATTTTTCAAGTGACCAGCAGGTGAAGCATGTCTAGCATGCATTTTTCCAAGAAAACACCTCTATTGCTCCTGCAGCCATGGCATCAGTGTATTAGTTGAGGGAAGTGTGACTGATTTTTGGGAACTTCAAAGCAACAGATTTACAGATGTACTCAACAGAATTTCCAGCATCTGCTGTAATCTGGATCAGATTTATTTGTAATGACTTTAGGCTCTAGGTTTGTCACTTCTGCTATAAGGTAAAATCTCCATTGGCTAGGCAGTACTGGAGGAGCATTTTCCTTCTGCCTCAGGTTCAATGATTTAACAGAATTTTTTAAAGACTCTTGCTGTATGAGATTTGTCAAAGAAACATCCAACTCTATATTTTCCCACAGTAAGTAATGGTGAAAGGGTGGGGAAACTGAGCGTAGTGGTAGAAGGGACTTTCATGCATATGCATGATTTTTTGCTGCCTTGCAACAACGCCAGATGCATCTGTCGCTTCCAGGTAGAGAAGTGGTGTAACATGTGTTCATTGCATTCTCGTTTTGCTCAAGATGACAGAACACTTGGAGCAGTGATACTGCATCAAGTTTTGTCAGAAACTTTGGGATACCCAAGCGGAAACAATCCGCAAAATTCAGCAGGTTTTCAGCAATAATGCAATGGGGGTGACTCAAATTAAAGAGTGGCTCAACCACTTTAAAGATTGTCACATGTTGGCAGGCAGTGACCAGCATTCCAGGAGACTGTCAATGAACTGAAATGCTGATGTCATTGACAAAGTGCGGATATTGATCATGGAGGATCGTCGTTTGACCATCTGGGGCATTGGTGATGAGGTTGGGATCAGCAGAGGTTCCGCAAACACAATTTTAACTGAGGATTTGGGCATGTGAAGAGTGGTGGAAAAATTTGTGCCCAAGATGCTTTCACTGGAGCAGCAACAACTCTGCCTTGAGGTCACGCAGGACATGCTGGAGTGTACCAACAGGGATCCAGAGTTCCTGAAGACTGTGATCACTGGTGATGGGTTGTGGATGGATGGATATGACCTGGAAACCAAGGTCTAGTCTTCACGCTGGAAGCATCCAACATCCCCAGGGTCCCAAAAGCACGACAGGTTCGGAGCAATATGAAGGTGATACTGTTTTTTTCGATTACTGGGGTGTTGTACATCACAAGTATGCACCACTAGGTCAAATTGTCAATAAGGAGTACTACCAAGAAATCCTCCATCTTTGTGATGCAGTTTGGCTCAAGAGACCAGAACTGTGGGACACATGCAACTGACAGCTGCATCATGAAAATTCCCTCGTGGTCATAGTACAGCTGGAAGGATTAGATAAATTGAAAAATTCCAATGATGTTGGGAATCAAACCTGTGACCTTCTGGCTTGTAGCATAGTGCCTCAACCAACTATGCTACTGCATGCCCCAGGTACCATACATGAACATTTTATTATTGTAGTCTGTGTTGCATGTGTTTGACACAAGATTAAATGAATTATTATCGTGCAGATCAGCTACAGTACAGTAGCAGGATATATACTTCTAGCATTTGGGAGGAGGGTCAGAGTGCTTAGTTTTCGTACTGATAGCTGTAGTTCACTGGATAATTCTTATAGAGTGCAAGCAGTAATAATTGGAAGTATTGAGTTGAACAGAAGGTGATATGATTTATGTTGTATTACCTCCTGAAAGCATTGAGAACATGACACAAGAACTCTAATAGTTTGTAAAGCATGTGAAATTATTTGTTTCTGTCAATTTCCTTAACTGCACACCAAACAGGAACTGAATTTTGGTCAAGGCAGAGTAAGATGCTTACCTTGCTTCAACTAAAGAGTAGCTTGAGACATGCTGCTTTGTTTCCTAAGAAGTTCATACTGGATGTCACCATCAGGACAGGAGTCATAGAAGTTGAACGTGAGGTTTATTACTTATATTTGCATAAGTGTTAATCAAAGAGTTGTTTGATAGAGTTGGCTATCTTGTATAAAATGTACAGTTGTCTCTTAGAGGTCATTTGCTTTATTATAGTTGGGATCTTTGGTATGGATTCTGAAGTATGAAGGCTTATATTTTCCATTCCAGAAAGAAACTATCAGCAATGGGAGGAGGAGATTCTTTCCAATATGCATTGCTGTGATGATGATGATATAGCCAGCATTGATTCTGCCAGAAAGTGTCAACTGAGATGTAGTCTCTCTACTAGTGCCTTATCAAACATGGAAAATATTTTACCAAAATGGGACAGAGATTTAAAATCAGGTAACAAAAATATGGTGATGCAAAATGAACCTCTTCCTATTTATGCAACTCCTCCGAAGGATATGCCCAGTGGAGACTTAGTATCTGTGGCTTCTAGCAATGGTCCCAGTGATTGTCACACCCCTCCAGAAAGTGTTAGCAGACACCCTGAGATGTCAGGTGCTACTCTATCTAGAAGAGTTATGCCAAGAAAGAGGAAATTTGATGAAGTGGGCAGCTATGAATTCCACTCATCTGCACAGAAGAAATTAACAACCAAACTTGCAGGTGTGGTTAAGAAACACACATCTGTCATTTCATTGAACGAACAGTTCTCTTCATGTGAAACAAACCAAGATGGGTTGCAGTCTTTCAGTAACCAGACCCACCAATTATTTAAGAAAGTAAAGGGTGATGTTCTGAAGGACAGAACAAATACATTGAGAGAGTTAATTATTAAATGTATAGAAAAGTTACACCAGCCACTGGAGTCATCTGTATGCCCAGAAGAAATATGTTTTGCCCACTGTAACTCAACTGAGCCAATCCTGAGTTCAACAAGTCACTGCATACAGGAACCTAGAGCTGTACTTACGCAAGAGCACAGAATGGCTGAATTATCTGAAGATGTATGTAACAGTGACATGAGGCACACTGAAACTCCCAAACGATCTGCGTGTTATGATGGTAGTGATGGTTGTTACACTGATGCCACAGAATGTGTGGATGTTAACAATGGTGCCTCATGTCTGTGCACTCAGGCTGTAGACCACAGCGAGCCTATGCGTGAGTCATGGGTGTCTCAGAATGCAGTGGAAGACAAGCAATGGGAAACTGATACGCAGACCCAGCATTGTTGTGCACAGGTCCATAGTGTCCTGAAGTCACCAGTTTATCCAAGACCTGTCACTTATAGACATATTTTAACTAGACGTCAATACCAGAGCCGTATTAAGAGCACTAAGGATAAGGTTTATTTAAATGTTGAAGATGTCTTGGCTTCTGGAGGTGACCTCCCGAGGCCAGAATTGAGAACAAGATCGAAGAAAGCTGAGAGTTACAACCTGAAGAAATTGCTTCAAGACGTGGCAAGTTATCCAACAGTGGTGCTGTGCCGAGTAGATGAAAATGTTAAGGAACAACCACATGAAAATTAAGTAGCCTCCTTTGAGAAAGGTGTAAAATCTATTAATGAATACAACAACTGTAAGATTTCACATTACAGTAGAAGGTCACACACCATCTGCACTGAAAGGAAGGATACATGTCAGCATACATTATGTGAGAAGGAAGGCAGGACCTGTTCAAACTAGCAGAACTGGAAAAGCTGAAATAACTGAGTGAATGACCCATGCATATGGTCTATAATGAGAAACTAATTTTAATGAGCATTCTTAATGCACTGCCAGTTTTAATTGTGTTACACACAACAGTATTCTTCTTTTTTTTTTTTATTGATTTCAGCTGTAAGATGTGTTTTTATCTTGTGTATGGATTTGCATATTGCCAACATGGCCTAACTACTAATTTCTGTTCTTTATGAATCACATGAGTGCTGTGGTAGTGCAGCATTGACTCAGTAGGAAAGTGGATGGAAAGAGAGACAACTACAGGCTTCATCTCAGCACTCTCAATACATGTTCACTGGGGCAGCTGTGCAGTGGGTGCTCTTGTGCAAGGCAAGGCCCTGGATTCATCAGTTGCACATATCAAACTCTATCCAAGTAACAGTACCATTAGTAATAATTTCAGCAGGAACAGTACATAATGCATCATATGGAATAACAAAGACATCATTACAAATATTTTTGACCTTTGCTTGGAAGTTACATGATTTTGTTGACTGCACCAGTCCTCACCGTGTAGGGCCAGTCTTGGCTGTTCTTCATACTGTAGGCACCAGTAGTCTGCTGTGTGTTGAGTCTAAGTATACTTCAAATATCCGAAGGTAATGTTATATTCTATTTTTGAAGGGATGTAAACAGTCTGACTGTTTCTTTAGTGCATAGGAAAATTTGTGATAAAATTATTGTGTGCACATTCCATATGTGATGTTTAAGTTGTGAGTATGCTTTTTCTGAGGGACTAAAATGATCAGACATAATGGAGATTTGTCTTCCATATTGTCATGTGTTTGGGGTTGTGTATGACTAATATTTGTGGATTCTGGATTGGATGATTAGGTTTATTTGACATCAGTACCACAGTTACACTAAATTATAACAGTTCACACACTTTCTATGTTCTCTCTGGCTTCACTTGTGAACTCTGTGTTTTCACGAAATGCATTCTCTTTCATATCTGTTAGGAGGCCATGACAGCAGACACCGCCTTGGAGAGTTCTGTATTTTGTATCCGTGGTAAATGTCTGCCGAAGCATGCATTACCATATAAAGAACTCCAGCTCTGCAGCAGCCTAATGCATAGTTGAGTGTTTTCAAGGAAGTGCATGTATAATAATCTCACGGTAATGCGTCGTCATGGGAACGAGCTCTTTGAATACTTGTTGCCTAGGAAATCAACTTTTGATCTGACTTCACTTTTCTGGCTTTCAGGCATCATGTCACATTGCTCCCTCCTTAAGGCTGTTTGTTGTGAACAGCCTAATGGTAAATCACCCCTCTTTCCTTTCGTGGGCTGTGGTTGTAATGTCTGCAGTAGGTCTTGCTGTCCTTCCCATGGTTGGTTTTCTCTTTGGTGCTGTCTCTCCTTCCACTACCACTGCTCCCTCCTTAAGGGCGTTCATCCTGAGCTACTCCCTCATAAGGCTTCAGTCTATCGAGATGCATCATCATCATCATCATTCAAAGTTCTCTCTTTCTTTCTCTTTCTAGTGGTGGGGGCTAGTGCTTCTGTATTATTAGCTCCCGCTTTACCTGTTGTTTCTTTTTCCATTTCAGATGGGGTCAATCCCTCCACAATGTACGGTTCTTGATTTTTCATAACATGATAGAAGATCTGGCTGTTCACTTTGTGTTCTCCAGTCTGAAGGTCTTCCTGAAGATTTTCCAAGATGTCCTCTCACTCCTCAGATGTAGTTGCTTCTTTAAGCTGTGGATCCTTATTTCCTCTATGCTTTCTGCTTTGGGCTGACATTTCTTTCCAAACGTTTGTCCTTTAGGGGTTCCTCATTCCACTTGCTTCATGGCCTTATGTTTCCTGACATTGCCACTCCTGCACAGTGGGTCATCCTCCTACCAGCAATGGTCACTCTCTTCTGCGATTCACAACTTCTTGATTTCTTTCCTTTAGCTTGTGACATAGCTCCGTGGAGAGATTTCGGTCCCTATGCTGCTTCCTCAGTCCTCTGACTGGCATCACTATGGCTTCTTCCTTTGGGACCTCCCAGTGTTCCCGTTCAGGTTCCATGCCCACTGAGGTTGGCTCCTTGCATTCCAGCCGTGCCTGCATCTTTCCTTGGCAAGCTGTCGTCTCCTTTTGGCCAGCCTTCATGTCCACTACACAGGCATTAACTGTGGATCTCATTTCATTTAGATTTACATCCATTTTTGCCTGGTTGGCCTCTATCCGGGAGACGATGGAAGCCCTCTATTATTGGCCAGCTTGGTAAACTTTTGTACTGGTTCTCATTTCTTCTTGCATGGATTTCATGAGTCCCAACATTTGTTCCATGTTTGCAGGCAGTATTCAAATTAATCAATCAGCCAATCCAATCCGACCACTTGTCAGTATCACAGGTACACTCAATTATAACAGTTCACACATTTTCTGTGTTCTCTCCGACTTCACTTCTGAACTCTGCCGTCACTTTTGAACTCTTTGTTCATGAAATACATTCTCTTTCATATCTGTTAGGTGGCTGTCACAGCAGACACCGCCTTGAGAAGTTATATATTTTGTATCTGCAGTAACTGTCTGCCTAAGCACACATCACCATGGAAACAACTCCAGCTCTGCAGTAACCTATATGCGTAGTCGAGTGTTTTCATGGTAGTGCATGTATCATAATCCCATGGTAACCCATTATCATGGGAATGTGCTCTGTTAATACTTGTTCCCTGGGAAATCAACTTCTGATATCTGACTTTACTATCCCAGCTTTCAAGCGTCACATCACAATATGAACTGAATGTAGCAGTATCAGAATGTCCTGACTGGGCCTTTTCTTCTGCTAGTGACAGGTATAGTCCTGTGTGGAGACATTTTGGAATACCTCCACCATAGTAGCCCTGTGAGTCGTACAAGACAACAAAAAGGGAACATGGTGCCCGGGGGTATAACTGGGCAACCCTGTCACTGGGGTACATAAATGCAGGGACTTTATCCTCCAGGTGGGGGTTGGACACAAGGCTCTGTAAAAAAATTATTGCAGCAAAATCCAAAGAAGTGAATAGCCAGAAACAAGCAGATCAGGCTGAATCTTCCAAGGAAGGCTGTGGCTCAAAAATTCTGTTTTGCCAATGATGATGAGTGACAGGTATGAATTTTAATGTAACAAATATTGTAAATGAATTAAGGTTGAAGAAAAGTAATGCAATATGTGAATTTCATTAGTCAGCTTCTTCTCACATTACAGACTGCACTTGGATTTACCTGTGTATATTTCTTGACCGCCTCTGTGGCCTAGTGGTCAGAGTTCCTGGCTACAGGTTCGATTCCCAGCGCTACCAGATTTTCTGAGAAGTAGTAGGTCTGGAATGGGGTCCACTCAGCCTCATGAGGATAATTGAGGAGGAAAAGTAGTAGCTCCAGTCTAGAAAACTTAGATTAACAGCCGTGGGAATCCGTTGTGCTGACCACACAACACCCTCTATCTGCAAAGGTGGCACTAACTTTGCTGACAAGTGGTGGTCATGCAGTTGGTGTAGTTAGCTTGCAGACTAAAAGCCATGGAGTTTGTGTATATTTCTTATAGCTGTACAAGGTTTTGGTACCATAAAAATCACAGAGGAAGAAGGAACACTTTTTTCTACATATCAGTGTGATGAATATAACAATTTCAAAGTGCCATAGCATTATTCTCCTTATATTTATCAAATCGTATAGCATGAAGAAGGTTTGGAAATAGCAGTATTGAACTGATCCAAGGGTTTCAGTAGATTCATTTTTATATACACTAATACATACAATAGTATGATTTTAGTTCAGGGGGAGGGATAACCTTTTGTAGTAACTCACCATGTGAGCCACACTAGGTATCCTATGAGTGTGACTCATTCTGACATTTAAATACCATTTCAGGGTCATATAGTTCTTCTTTTAAAGAAAGACTTGAGGGTTGAATGGTTTACTTTCATTTTGTAAATCAAGCATTCCTGCTTCTGCAACCTACAGAACATTTAAAATATTGTTTCTGTGTAGAGTTTATTGTGTCATTTTATACTTGATGAATTTGTTCCTCATTGTTTACTTTCCTGTTAATAAGGAGAAAAGTGTTTTATTTGAAGGGAAGGAAGTAGGTTACAGTGAGGTAATTCACTTATTTGATTAATATGAACTTGGGTGAAGGGCGAAGTCCATTCAAATCTGCCAACTAAGTTGAGTTTTGTTTACCTTTTCATTACTGGGGACAAGTTTGTTCCGTTCTGGAAGCCTCATATGTTTGTTGTACATATTCAGGCTGGTGCTAGAAACAAGACTATAAGGTATGAGTTATGGATTAAAATATGCTCATATATAGGATGTTCACTAAGTAACATTTGATGGTGTGTTGAATTGTATTTTTACACCAAGTACTTTAATATAATTAATATTATTGTATCCCATTTTATTAGCAGTGGTGTATATATGTTAGCCATGTATTTGCCTGATGATGGCTTTTAATAGCCGAAACATGTAGCGGAGCCAAACTAGGCCCTGACCTTTATATAGTTGTGACGGTTTTAATAAAGAAATTGTTAACAACTGTAACTGCCTTCTTGTGTGTGTGTGTGTTAGTCTTGTTCTTGGTAATTTTTTTTAATAATTATCATTCCTGTCTTCAGTTATGCCAAGATGTTTGTAATTAGATATTTACTCTTGAAAATTCTGATTGGAGTCATAATGACTCCTAGAATCTCTAAAACATGTATAACTTTTGGCAGTCTGTTAATAATGGCAGTAAATATATGAGGTTGGATAATGAAATTAGTGGTCAGATGCTTTTCTCAGCAAATGGCAACACTGATCAGGTTCGGCATGGTTAACGTGATTATGTAAATCGTAAATTTTATATAAAATGGTGTTTGGATTGGGTTCATTTTGTGGTTGCTTTAAGTATTAAATTGTTAGTAAAGCTGGTGACAAAAATTCTCTCCATAGACTTGCTGTAACAAAATGTTACAGCAAGTCTATGGAGAGGGGATAATG